GGGGCAGGATCATGGTGCATATCATAAAACCTGGCCATGTCTGTCTTAGCTTGTTCCAGAGCAGCCTTACACTCCTCCTGGGTCTGGGAAAGTCTAGAGAGAAACTGGCTAACTCCCTCAGCTCTAGTTTCTCTTTTAGGCTCCACACCCAGTCTTGGATGTTGACCAGTCCAAAGCAAGCAGCAGAAGACAGAGATCATGTTGGGGTGATGTACATACCATACACAAGCAGCAAGCCGAATCAATCACTGACACTGTATCATGAGTCACCATAAGTGGCAAGGACAATTGGAAGTAATGGTTTGATATGCACATGGTGTAAACAGATGGGTGGGAAGATGTGGTGGAAGTCATACAGGTAGCTAGTTTACAATGTACTGGACGTACAATATTTTTTCCGAATGTACATACACTGAGGAATCGTCTAAGTCGTTATGTTGCCACATATAGCCCGAGAATGCAGAGTAACAGATACCTATTGGCATGTCCAGACGTTGATGCTGTCATAAACAGGTCTTAGGGATGAGAAGGAGCGGACCCAGTAACAGGCTCCACCAAATTCCTCAAAGCTTGGCGAAGGCGATTGTTCTCCTCATGTAGACGTACGGTTTCCGCGCGACTGTCCTTCAGTTGCCGCTGTAGCTGGAGAACCAGCCACGTCTTACTTAGCGACTTGTCCATCATGGTCTCGAAACGTTCGCTGAGGGCGGCCATGGGGTCTTGCGAAGCGTTGGAGTCGACGGGCTCCATTTTGACAGCAACCTGCATATACTGAGACAACTTAGATGCATACACGGTCACGGAAACGCACCTGTTGGATGTCCTCTTCCGCGTCACTCGCCGTCAAGTCAATGACGGCCGCCTTCAACTTCGCCCTCTTCGGCTTGCCCTGCTCCTCGTCTTCGACTGCTTCGTCTGTGGCGCATGACGTGTATATGCGCATTTATGACACCGGTTAACTTGACTCTACTCAGGTGTATTATCATATGGAAGTGCCAGCCTGTGGGTATGCCGAGTCCGCTGCCGGCACGCACATACCCTCTCGACACGAATATCGATGCAATATTGCGGGAGGAACCCGATGAGCTGCAAGCATTACTTGAACGTCGACCTCTTGAGCCTCTGATCAACGGTACGTACCTGGGTGGAGATCAGGAATCTACGCATGGGATCTTGGGTCTTGACGTTGGGGCGCACTCCGTCGACACTATCGTGGACGGGACCGCAGCTATGGGACCGAACGCAGCTGCCAACATCGACACACTGGCTTGCCACACCAAAACGTTGCGAATTGAACGAGCTGGTCAACCCGACACTCTTCCAACGCTGCTATCAGGTCAATCTCAATCTGTCTCGGACGAGAACGCAGCGGGTGCCGCCCCCATGGCGATGACCTCCTCCGGGTCGATAATGGTCAAGATCGAACCCACCCCAGCGACGCCGAAGCCAACAGTGAAAGGGAGTGCAGTGAGGAAGAAAACACAGTCAAGGGTACTGTGAAAGGTGTGCAGGGGTCAGTTCGAGGAGCCTACAAAGGCTTACACAAAGCACATCAAGCGGTGCTTAAGACGATCATCGGGGAGAAGAAGATCAAATGTGAATTGGGTTCTGGGAAGACGTCATCTGATTCGAAACCTCCAGTGGTGGCGGGGAGGGGGTCAACATCGAAGGAAAGCAAGAGTGGAACGTCTGCTTCGGCCAAGAGCCAAGGTTTGACGGCCAAGCCAGGCAAGAAGGCCACGGGGCGATTGGTGGCATCCAGCTTCGATTCCGAATATCCCGAGGAGTTCAAGTTGTCTGAGCTCGGGACGAAGATGTTTTGTGGATGGGAAGCTTTCGTGCGCATATACGAAATCCATGGCCCAAGACCGTGGGAAAATGGCGGAGGGTTAACCTTGACGCTGTTGGTCAAGGACAAAGAAAGCGGAAGTTCATCAATAGTGCTTATTAGCGTGGAATTGACAAGCCATAGACGGCCATGAAGGTCTTGACGTTCGAGGAGGAGGTAATTGATGGATTGTTGAAGAATACAGCTGTGGGAGTGGTAAGCGGTTATGATACCCTTGGAGCCTGATGCTGACGTCAACGCAGGTGATGCGCTTGGAGAGTGTTCGTTTGCAAGAAACGCAAGCGAAATATCTATGGAACGGGCTTCTTCCTATCGAGGCGGTCGTCGACCACAACTCTAGGATTGAATTCCCTCTCCAGGTGGGTGATATTTCAAAGTATACAATGATATTACTAATGACACGACAGGACCACGGCATCCCTCCTCTGAGTCTTGAGCTGACAAAGATCAGCCTGCTTAGGATTGAATTCCCTCTCCAGGTGGGTGATATTTCAAAGTATACAATGATATTACTAATGACACGACAGGACCACGGCATCCCTCCTCTGAGTCTTGAGCTGACAAAGATCAGCCTGCTTAGGGCAATGAAGGTGGGTACCGAGGTCAACGTTATAGGAGTGGTGCTGCATGTCGGCGAAGTGGAGGCGATGTCTGAAAAGAAGAGGGTTGCCGGGAAGAGTGGGGATGGAGAGAGCGAGAGCGAGGAGGAAGACCCCAAAGGGGAGAGGATGAGACGGGAAGTCCAGCTAGTGGACGACTCTGCCCACGTCGTGCGCATTGCACTATGGAAAGACCGTGCTACGTCCATGGCTGTGAAGCGCGGTTCAATCTTGTTGCTCAAGAAGGTGGTCATTGCCGCGCATGGTGGTATCAGCCTGAACGTGCACGAGAAGACAAAGGTGGACAAGGATCCGAAGGTGGCAGAGGGCACGAGCTTGAAGAACTGGTCCGTTGATAATATGGTTATTCATTGAACAGCCTACCGACTTTGCCAAGGTACAATAATCTCGCATCGAATCCCCAAACGTTCCGACATATCTCCTCCGGTTATAGCGCCGGAAGTGGCCTGTTCACCGACATCGAGCCCCGCTCAAGCGTTCTGACCATCCCTGAGGTTCAAAAGTCCAATCTTGGAACCAGCTCCCGCGTCGACACCTTCAATGTCGAGGGCCGCATTCAGGTGGTGGATTGGAATGCTGTCTACGAGGCCTGCAGGAATACTCATTGTAACAAGAGTATTGAGAAGAGCCCTTGCGATATTGAAGGGCATGAAGATATGTCTGATGATAATCGAAGATTCTGGTGAGTCTTCTACGTTGGGCTGGCAGTGGCAAATGCTGATGATGATGACATTTAGCTACCATCTCAAATTAACGATTGGACAAGACCGCAGGCGCAGCATAGATGTCCCCGTTTTCACGCCGCTGGCTGACAAAATGCTTGAGGAGGACGCGACGGAAGTAGTCAAGAAAAGGGTACGTTTACCTCTACCCCAAAAGAGATCTCCTAATGATATGCCAGGATCACACGCCGGGCCAGTATGATGAAGTTCTTGGGGCCCTCTTAAAGACAAAATGGAGATTCACTATCCAGGCATGCACTCAGTTGTGGAAGGTGCCTGCAGGTATATGATATTGATGTGTGGCTTACTTGGAATGCAGAATGAATGGTCCGGCGAATGGTCGAGGAAGCTGACTTACGTCGTGACCGGGGCGGAGCAGCTCGGAGAAGAGGAGGGGGAAGACAAAGATGAGGAATCGAGGGAGGACGTCGAAGGGGAAAATGGAGAGGATGAGGTCCCCGAGGTGTTTGAGGAAGAGGGGGATTCTGATTGACGAAGACGTGAGTGGAAGGGGTGGGATGAGTGGGAGTATGAGTGAAGAGTGAGGAGTTGCGATGCCTGTCTGTCATCATGATCAATGTCGCTATATGCACCATAACTGTTGTATCGTAGGGGGAGGAATTGCCGGTGCTGTGGCCAAATAAGGAATCGCGGTCTCTGCCTGAACGTTGTGTGAGGAATGCCAGATCATCCAGGGATTATACATGATTATCTATGGATTATTTGGGGATTATCCGAGAGGATTATCTGAGACCATGGGTTACAAGCGTCGTAGGAGTATCTGATTTTACGGTCCTCAAGCTACTAGGATGATCTAAGTCTACTGAGGTGGCTGAAAATAATGACGGTATAACAGCGCAAGTTGGCATGAGGCCAGCCAGTATTGGCGGTGAATATGTCACAGATCTGTGTGACATACAAGCAAAGGACATTCTCTGGCGTGTGTGCAGGCGAGGAGTGTTTCCCAGGCTATGATACGGGCAGATTTATACCCAAAGAAGGAGTCATCATGATGATAGTCTGAAAAAATTGTACTCGTTTGGTGCCGCATTTCCGCATCTCTGGGCATGCACACGCCCTCCAATTCTCCAACTTACCCTCACCTGAAAAATACTTTCTCAGACCCAACCAAACTGCCGCCTCCCTATCAAAAAAATGGCCGATTCACCCAGTCAACAATGTCCCGATGCCGAATCGGTCCCAAACATTATCGACAACGGTGTGCGCGATCTGCAAAACCACGCGAAACTTTTGAAAGCGTGGCATACGGTGAAAAGGATACTCAAGGATAAGGATTTGATGGGAGATCCGATATTTGCCGCCAATGCTTGTGAGTTTCGGCTTTGTATGCTATCTTCTCCCATGGATCTAACAGTGTTTTGGGAATGTTCAGACTAAATGGAGAAGAGGGCGCGTCGAGCACTGGAAGACGTCCGTCGTCCTCTCATTAACAAAAACAAAGAACCTACCGGAGTGCCCGCTTCCGGCGAGGCTGAGCTTCTAAACAAGCAAGAGCCCGACAAGAAAACGGTGGAGGAAACTCTCACAACAACCAGTAACGGTGAGCCCGTAAGCATGGACATCGCACCTGGTAGCTCTCTGCTCACGCGCTCGTAATACCATGAAGCGTCTTCATCAAAATGTTGAAGAGGGTGAACCGTCATCAAAACGACCACGGATGACGGAGAGAGAACGTGTCGTCAGACCGCACCCTTTGCTTTTAAGCCCTGGCAGACGCTACCGGCGATCTCCCTCCCCAGGCTCGTGGCGTACTAGGGGGGTACCATCTAATTGGAGTGCGGTGGCCCGTGATCTTGGATGGGGTGTAGAATGACTGAGCCGTCGCAATTCAAAGTAGAATACTTCCAGAAAGATATACACCGTGGTAGCCGAGTTGAAAGTAACATAGCCGTCGGGGATAGCTTGTATCGGCATTAAACACAATGTGCCTCTTTCAGGGCCTGCTCATCGTCCCCTGCCGACGTCGACGGCGGGCTGCCTAAAGACGACGACGGCGAACGAAAGGACGATGGCGACCACACAAATACGAACAGCACGTCTAGCACTTCGATATTCTCAGCGCTCGTGCTATTTCATGCCTCGCCCTTCCATCCAACATTATGCTCGCGTGCGACACCAGTCTACTCAGCACTCTCCACCATCCGGCGACGCACCCCCCATCCCACGATACGGCGGCGACTTCTCCGTCCCCCTTCGTCGGGTGGGATGGATGTTCTACTCATTTGGTCGCGCGGTCTTCGTTATTGGATTTGTCGTTGGTACTCTTGGCGCAGCAGCGTATGGGGCAGCCCACATGTACGTCGAGAGCGTCTGCTTGGAAGAGGACGACATCACCCCCGAAGAGGCGTGGGGCTTTGATTTAGAGCGAGAGCGCTGGACTGGACGACGAGATCCTCCACGCCGGAGAGGTGGCACAGACCCACGTCTTGGGTGGTCAGGAAGGAACCTACTCAGGAGCGCGTGGATGGCAATAAACTGGGGCGTAGGCCCTGCGACACTATACACCCACGAAGCACTAGGCGAAATCGACATGTTCGGATTTGAAGTCCCTGCTCGGGAATGGGCGTTTGCCCGCGCATACATCGGCTCGGCTATGGGGATCGCAAAGCAGAAGACGAAGCAGCTGGGCGAATGGCCGGCGAGCGACGCTGCTCAAGACCTGCTCGTCCAGTACGGCAGCATACTTCAGAGGATAGGAGGAAGGAGGTTCCTCTTGGATGCGCGGGATAAATATGAGGAGCTGGTAAAGGAGCTTCATAAGGAGGGGAGAGGGCCAGAAGCAGCAAGGTGGGGCGCAAAGATGGGAGACCTTACCAAGCGGCTTGGGGAGAGTGGAGATGCATGGTGGATCTGGGCTGTGAGGACAGCGGCGGGGGATAAAGTTCCTCTGCCAGCTGCGGTTCTCCCTGCAGTGGGACCGGTGGACGAGATCCCTGACCCCAAGCCTACAAGATGGTGGTTCTCTCGCCCATCTCGCCCAGCAAGTGTGTTCACCTCCAAGCCCGACTTCTTACCGACCGAGATGCCCAAGAGTCCTCTAGCAGAGAGAGTGATGGCAAACGCTCTTGTGGCATTATCCGCTCAGTGGGCAGAAGATGGTCGACTCCGGCAGGCTCTCGAGCTGGAGAAGGCTAGCCTGAGGTTGCTTGGGGGCGTCCTGCCACCTTCATACACATCAAACCCGCCCACACTACCGAAGGCCGTCACTGCCGCGTCATCCACACAACCTTCCCAAACCGCCACAGACCCAGCCGCAAAACGTCTTCACCTGCTCAGTCTCTCCCACGCCCGAGCCCTCCTCCAAATCCATCAAGCTGAAGTCCTCTTCTCCCTCTCTCTGTCGCTCAAGCACCCATTCCACTCCTCGTCTCTCGACCTTCTGCAAGCCGCTGCACGCCAAGCAGAGTACGCTATCTCGCAGCTCACAGCCATCCCTCTAACGCACCCTGACTTTCCCGAATCTCCGCTACCTGCGATCCCAACCCCGGACGCGGAGCTGGACGGTGTCTGGTCCAATTCTTCCGTCCTGAAAGAGCCAAGCCGCAGGCTGCTAAGAGACGCTAGGCGGACAGCAGCACACGCCTGGGCACTGAGTGCCGTACTCTACGAGCGGCAAGGCGAGTGGCTCAAAGCGTACGAATGTGCCGAACGCGGAATGGAATGGGTAGCTGCGGGGCGAGTGTTGACTGATTTTTCGCGGTCTCCTGAGGCGGCGACGAAGGGTAGGGAAGGGCTGGTGGCGGAGTTCGCGGAGACTTTCGAGGTGCATCAAAGGACGAGGATGAAGATGCTTCAATATACACATGGGACTGTGGTCGACCCTACCAAGGACAATGTGGCCGACAAGAGCGGAGAAGCGAAGGGCAAGGCGAAGGCTAAAGAGGGGAAGTGAGCTATGTATTTGCACCGAGAGAGCTGACGACGGCAGAGGAGGAAGGGAATAACGGCCCTGATCATTATTTGACCATATGGTATATGCAAATGCTGATATGTGATAAATCTATCCCCGTTCCTCTCTAGTCAATCTTCCGCATGCAAAGGCATTCCACTACATGCCTTCCGTCACAACCACAGCAATAACAGTTACGCTATCCCTTGCATCAGTAACATTCTTCATTCCTCATTCCAGTGGTAAAGGTACATACTCATCAATTTTGCCCCCTATCCAGTTGAACCATTCCCATCCTCCCCGAGTCTTCGCCGCAACTTCCAGGTCGCCCGCTCACATCAGCTCCACCCCAAGTTTAGGAAAAGGAGAAACTCACGTTCAAAGGGCGTCAGAGCGGTGACGTCCATCATCGCCTGCCTCGCATGCTCGACACACGTCCTTGCCAGCCTCTTGGCTTGCAGCGTCTCTGGTGGATCTGGGTCGGATGGGCCGCTAATAGAGGGCGACGAAGGAGGAAAGAGCTCGTCGCCCGCTCCTGCTATTCCAGAGGCGGCATACGCCTGGGAAAGGAGTGAGAGCTCCAGCATCTCCGAGGCGAACAGGTTATCCGACAGCCCGTCGGTCTGCACGGATCAGCCTAGGCCGGAGTGGAAGAGGGCGGACGCACGTAGATGAGGACGACGTCCCCGTGCCTGAGGGTGCACTCCCATTCCTCGGCTATGGAAGGATCGTCCAGCTTCGGTTTCTTGCCTTTCTTGAACGCGTGGATTGGGTACTTTGACAGCTGCCTACATAGGGAAATGAGATAGCGTCAATACATAACTCCTCCCATTATGGAGAAGACGCACTTAGGACAATTGAAGTAATGTGTTTGTGGAGCTTGGATATGCTGGATACTTGGCCCGCGGAGGACGATGAACCCCGAGTCTCCAAGTGTTGCGGCTCGCAGTTTACCGGTCTTGCTGTTGAGTGTTAGGACGCAGGCTGTGCTTGCTCCTAAGCATACAGACAAGAAGTCAGTCGATTTTGGCTCATGAGAATCGAAGAATGCGAAGAGGGATGACAGTGGGGAGAAAAAGCAAAGCAGGAGGAAAGCAGCACACTCACCCATCTCCACATCAGGATCCACCAACACCGCATCATACCCCTTCTGCAAGATCTCCTTGGGTCCCAGCTCCTCCCCATCGCCTTGCCTCACTTCCCACCCTTCGCCGCTATACAACACGTCCCTCCCTCCTTCAGACTCATGCGGGTGGTCGACGTCGGCTGGGAAAGCCCAGCCTTTGGAGGCGGCGTGCGCGGCGTGAAACATCAGGCATTGGGAGAAGAGGGAGGGGTCTATGCCGGATGCGGACCAGCCGCCGACGCCGTCTGCTATTCCGAGAGCGAGGCCCTGGGGGTTGTTAGTGGTGATTGGAGGAGTGAGAGAGGAGTGCGTGAAGAAGAAGTGGTTAAAGAAATAGCCCATGAAGAAGCAGCCAAGAGAGAAGATGTAGAGAGAGAAGTAGCCAAGACAGAAGTGGCCAAGACAGAATTGACCAAGCAGGAAGCGGTCAAGAAGAGTTTAGAGAAGAAGCTGCCAAGAAAGAAGTGAAAAAAGAAGTGTTAATTGAGAGTAGAACGGTATAGTGCTCACCGACTGGCCCTTCATATGTTGCACAAATACAAAGTCCTCTCCCATTGCATGTTCCCTGTCCTTCCCTTCATCTGCCGCCTGAGCTCCCCTCTCCTCCCCTCCAACACCCACAACAGGTACCTTCCTCACATCCCCGCCTCTCCACTCTCCTATCATCTCGTCCCTCCACCTCCCTTTCGGGCTCTGGGCAGGGAAGGCCACACTCGGCACCCGCTCTTTTTCAGGCAGGGAGGTGTCGGGCGGTTTACGTGCATAGGCGACACCGACATGGAACGTGTACGGTCTGGGTAGGGTGGAGATACACCGACGGAGGAGGAGGAAGGTGCGCAGAGGGTGGTGAGTGCGGCGGAGGTATGGGAGGAATGACATTGGCGGGTGTGGGCCCGCACCAAGCTTTCTTCGTATAGCGATTCGAGCTTGCGATATGACGGGATATCCGTTGTAGATCTTTATCGCTGTTGTAGATAAATAGGAATAAGAGGTATAGCTTTGTGCTGGTAGAGGTCCGTCCTTGTCGTCGTCGTCGTCGTCGTCGTCGTCACTAGTGTGGTCAACGCGCCAAACCATGGACAGTGAACAGCACGCGTCCGATTCCACCGGAACGGCATTGAGCGCCTCCACGCCGTCCACCACTTTCTCCATCACTTTCTTTTCGTGTACGCTACTCCTCTCTGTCCCATATACATTAGTAAGTGTAACAACAATTATTATTGTTAATTTTCACGCTGACAAACCAAAGTTATTCTTAATTAACTATTCCCAACAATGATCTCTGCTGACTCATCATCTCGTTTCTTGGCCATGATCAAACCCCCGTTGTCTCCCTCTTCTAAAGGCATAAATACCCGCAAGGCCAACAACGCTCAGCCCATCAACCACCAGGTTCCATAGCATCATGGCCACCAAATCGTCCCAGTCCTACACCGCCCAACGTATCACTCTCCGTTCCCCCACCCCTTTCTACACGGTGCTCTTCCGACTTGAGAAACTTACGAACCACCGTGCTGCGGCCGGTCTTCCCCGCCCGTTGACTTCCAAGGTGTTCGAGACGTGGGTTGAAGGACGTCTGGGGGAGAGCGGATTCATGTACGTCTTCCCTATCCGTACAAGAGCTGAACTGAGGGTCGTCGTCTTGTTGGTATATGTACAGGTTCTTTAACGCCCACGCGCACTCGGAGTGGTTCTCCCTTTTCAGCCCTACCCCCACGAAGAAATTCACGACCTACATCCTCGGTAACCCACTCATCGCGCGCACTCTGCTCGTGCATGAGCCTCGTGCGGGGCTTATAGTCCCCCCGCGAGTGTTCCTCATGGAGGAAGAGAACGGCACGGCGATTGTTTATGACTTGCCTAGCTCGGTTGTCTGTCTTGAGGGGTATGCGGGAGGGGAGGGGACGGCGCTGGAGGAAGCGGCTAGGGCGTTGGATGGGAAGCTGGAGAGGGTGTTGAGGGAAGCGCTGGCTTGAGAGACTGGAGATGCTGAAGGATACGGATCGATTGCTCAACTCCCCTCTGGGAGAGGAACTTGCGTTAGGGCAACGTTATGTGTGCGCCGTGACTGCATATGCGATGAATAAATTCAAATCTATTTGCTTTCTTACGAACCTTTTGCCCAAGAATCTCGGACCTTCCAACAAATCTTCTCAGGTCTCCCCACTCACAACCTCGCTCTTCCTACAAGTCGCTGTACCAGACCATAACAGCGAGGACCGCAAGTTACATGTTTTGACATTATCAAGGAGCATTTCGGGGTCGTAACAACAACGTGCCCCCGAGACCAAACACCAAGAAAGGCAATCAATTAGGACTTGCTAATCAACTCGGTCTTCTAAAAATTGGCAACTGAATAAAGTCATGTTCTGCCGTCGATGAACGATCGTTCATCGAATTCCCCGGAGTTGCAATATCACCCAGCTTGCCATCTCGTCGTTTCACATTGGTTGACAACTCCCAAGGTGGAAAGCGTACGTAAGCAGGGGCAAGATCTGTTTTGATGGGAGTAGTCCCTTTAAGCGCCGACAGTTCTTTTTAAGCTTCTCGGGATCCCTTATATATATTCCGTCTCTGATGCCCGTAACCAAAGGCAGTCGTATGCCCTCTTCGGCTGCATCAAGACCACAAAAAAAAGCCGGCATCTTGGGCCTTCCCTCGCTGAAATTTGCAAGCACTAAACTGGACAGCGCTGCACAGGTTTCCTTAGCGTTGACACTCCTGCATCTCCGACGCACAGGCTTGTTTGGCTTTGTCCCTACCGTAGGGTCCTTCTCTGAACCTTTCGATACGCCCGAACCGCAGAACTGGTGGGATGCGAAAAAGGGAGGCCACGAGGCCTTCCTCACTAGCCTCGGCAAAGCGAGCTTTCCCGCGCTTGAGAGCGTCACGTTGTTCAATCTCTCCCTGTAGAAGTCAACAACTGGATAAGGTACATATCTCATGACTCCTGGTAAAAATGGTACGAAATGCAGAGTAACATTCTGGAGAACGGGGAGCGGTTGGCGGTGAAGGAGCGGGTGATAGCTGCCACTGACATGCGAACTGGGACACAGATGTACAATTGGCATCACTGGATTGCGATGACGGATGAGACCCCAAAGGAGGTATAATGTAGGTGCACAGCTTCCATGTCGCGTCGTTTGTTTATGTGTCTCAGACGTACGAAATGACCCTGGCCACTGTGGCCTTTAGGAAAGGGACATCCGAATAAACAAGATGTTTCGCGAATTCGTACCGGAGCGAATGCCTTCTCCCACAACGTTTAAAATGCATCCCATCAAAGGGCTGTTGGATGAGTACTATCCCTCTAGTCACTTTGACGCCGGCGCCTTCGTTGCTAGATGTTCCAGTCAGTCAGAAAAGTTGACCAAGTCATGCTCATGTCAGTAGGGATGGCAACGGTCCAGTCCAGTCCGGTCCAGTCCTGAACGGTCCCGGATTTTTGGCGATAGTCGGTCCCGGTCCAGTCCTGTGATGGTCCGGTCCTGGACGGTCCCAGGACCGGGAACCGCCAGTCCCAGTCCAGTCCACTAAATGCTAACATAATTCTATTCAATAGTCAATGTGGGGTCATGGCATTGAGCGGGAGGAAGCACACGCGAGATTCATCATGCACCTGAAACGACATGCCAGTCAGTCAGATGATATGCCGACCTCTTCCAACACCATGACATGACCGGTCACCATCCCTGCAACGCCAAAACTGTCAAACTCTGCACCCAATTGCATGGCGAAATGGTGGCTGCGTGGGACCGGTCCGGTCCGGTCCTTCGCAGTTCAGGACTGAACCGGATTTTCCAAAAGTGTGGGTCCTGGTCCAGTCCTGGACTGGATCGGCAGGACCGCGGTCCTCAAAGTCCGGTCTAGGACTGATGCCATCCCTACATGTCAGTGAGGTACGTACTGAACAGTCCGTATCATGACTTACTAACTGGAGGGATCCTTGTCACGCACTTGCATGTTACTCCTTTTTCCATTTTTCACGAGTAGTTAGTGCGCTACAGATAATAAATTCGAGTGAGAAAGTGCGAGAATAAGTGTTTAAATGTCTAGCCAATCACGCGCGCCCGCGTGTAGGAAACAGCGGAAGTGCGGAGGCGCTTGTGCCTTCTGATTACTAGACCTCTGGCTGTGATGACTGGGTCTAATGCGGATACGCACTTGTGTGGCGAGTGGTGCCAGGTATATAGGACGTGGTCCAACCCAGCGCTTGGTCTTTTACCTTTTCACCCATCTGCGAAACATGGCCTCATCGTATCCCATCCTTCCATATTCTGCGCCAATCTTCTCCGACTCCAACTCCTCCGTACAATGCGTTTACGGCAGCGACGTGCCTGACAACGTCACTCCACCTCCGAGCGACTCCGGAAATAGCGAAGACTTTGCGTCAGAGTGGCCAACAACGTCCGAACTCCAACAGACCTTGGTCACAAAATGTCTTCCTGATCCGCGCACCCGTAGCTTTCGCATTCAGCCCTCTACCATCAAGTCTGCACTCCAGTGCGCCATTCCAAAAGATCGCGTCAGGTACGAACTGTCCTTCGCACTTCGCACTTCTTGTTGTTTGACACGCGAAACCAAAACAACAGTATCCAGGTCGATTGTACCTACTTGATCGCCTACGATATCCGCACCCTAAGCCACGATTACCGGTCCACTCATCGCAGTCCGATCGTTGCCTGAACTGTCGGCTACGCGCTCACCAACAAGGACCTCTATTGTCTACACCGCATGGACTGGGACCAGTACCGCAGAGAGTGGGTTGGGACGACCCGCTGCTGGAACTGGACCCGAGTGAACAGAGCAGACAACATCCTCCTCATCATCAAGCTCAGCGAACCACGCGCGACGTCGCTCGACGATTTTCTTGCCCTTGGAGGAAACGGGGTTTTCAAGCAACAAGTTATGCACCAGGCGCATGCGAGGGACTACTGCTATATTTGCATGACCCGGGAGGTCTTATTGAGGAGTTGGGCGGCGTCTTGAGGACTGTGGCTTATGACTTTATGGACGAGGTGAGGAAGTACACCCACCTCGTCAAAGGAGGGACCGTTTCCCATTTCTCTCTCTATGTCTTCCCTTGAAAGACGACGCGTAATAGGCCAGGTGCTGATCCTGATGGTTCGATTTTGTTCTGTTTTTCTGTTTGTGCACGATTCCACAGACTACGTGCTGGCGTCTAACTGTTTTGGGCTGGAAGAGACATCATACATCGTAGCGTTTCTTTCCTGTATGCATGCTAACTTCAATACCAACAACTGTGACTGAATATTTACATACGGTAGAATGTGTGGTGGGAGGTCATTCGAGTGGTCCCCGGAGCCTCAAAGTAACAAACCAACGTTGTGTCGAGCCTTGACATCCTCTGCTGCTATCAGGACGACACGTAGCACCATCCATGCAGGATCTGGGGCAGATTGGCCATGAATGTAACAGTAGTCCCTCGCGTGTGCCTGGTGCATAACCTGTCGCATGAAAACCCCGTTTCCCCCAAGTTTGAGAAAATCGTCCAGCGACGTCGCGCGTGGTTCGCCGAGCTTGATGACCAGGAGGATGTTCTTTGAAGCGCAACAGAGAGTCGCGATCTAGTCGCTGATAAAAGAGTTGACTCGTGATATTCGAAGATCGAGTCTCTTGTGGTTCCATTGGAGGACTAGCATGGTATCCGATTTGGCAGGAAGACCACCGACGCACAGGCCAGAGGGCCAAGATGAAACCACAGGGCCAGAACATGTGTATTCCATAGCAACCAACACCAGAATAGTTTGGAACATAGCCCGTCATTCCACCGTTAAGTCCAAGACGGATGTCATGGCCAAGAACGCTAGGATTAGGGCTTAACCAGTACAACTAGAAGGCCAGATGAGACTAACAGCCCGCGTAACAACAAAACACGACCAAGGCCGTTGGCGAAGCACTCCATAGGTGAGATACGGCACATTGATTCAAACAAAGAAAAGATATGGAGACCATGATGTCTTGTTCAAGGGTGAAAGAGCGTGTAAGAGAAGAAGCGACCTATCTGTTTCCGTGCCGATATCTCGTCTCCTTGTTCGGCCGAGGGCTCGGCATCCGTCACAGCCACATGAACTCTCTGGAAGTTCAGGGTCCTGGCAAACCTTCGTTTGATAACGATCATCCTGTGAGATGCCGGAGCATCTCTGTCTGGTCGTCGGCTTCGATGTATAATGACTGCACATTGATTGTCTATCAATGCTATGACTGGATTAATGTGGCGCATTGTGGACTTGACTAGGGACGATAAGCGTGCCGATGCTCTGTGGGGGAATCACCGATCTGGGGCTGGTACATAAGGACGCTTCTCTCGTCCTCCGCAAAACCTTTGGCGACTTGCCTATCTTTTTCTACCTGAAACGTACACCTCATTACGATGGGAGACGCAAACACGCCCGAGGAGCTCAAGTTTGGGAGTGCATACAACTAGTGCGTCATATAACGTTTTCTCATTTCTGTTGCTAATACTCTCGCATCTAGCTGGATCAAGACCGATGCCGGATTCGATCTCTCTCGTGGATCCCCTGAGAAGATCACAGTGAAGACTACAAAGGATCCGATCATGATCGCACCCAAGAAGACGGCGCTGATCATCATCGATATGCAGAGTACACACCTTCCTCCCTCGTTCGTCTCATTGCTAATCCATTTCCAGACTACTTCCTCCACGAGAAGCTGTTCGACAACGGGCCAGGGCGCGAGTCCGTCCCACTGATGATGGAGACTGTTTGTTCCTGCCGGAAAGCCGGTATCCCCGTCGTATGGTGCAACATGGGGATGAACGAAGCGGACCGGTATACCCTGCCCCCATCCTACCTCGCAATGTCCTACAAGCGGGACAACGCGACGTTCAACCAGTCGATTGGGACCGTTTCCATCCCCGGGCAAGCTAAGCCTATCGACATGGGTGGGAAGCTTATCAAGGGGTCGTGGAACGCCGAGCTCTGGGGCCCGTTGAAGGCGTTCGCAGAGGAGGGATACAAGCTCGGGACGGACGTGCATATCTGGAAGAACCGGTTCAGCGCACTGTGTGGGCACCAGCCGCTCGAGCTCTGGCTGCAGGAGAACCAGATCACGACTACTCTATGGGGAGGTGTGGTCACGGATGTGTGTGTTTGGGGGAGCATGCTGGATGCGTACTATAAGGGGTACGATATGGTCATGGTCAAGGAGCTGGCGAACACGACTAGCCCCGACTTTGTTGTCAAGACTGCGTATAGGAATACTGAGAACTGGGGCTGGCTGACGAGCACGAGCAGCTTGATGGAGGGTATCGAGCAGGCCAGTGCTTGAGTACGTCGCTGCGAGTACATAGCTGAAATCTCTTTTCGTGCGGTGACGGTCTCAGGATGTTGTTGTAAGAAATGCAAATATTGTCAATTCACGCGATTGGGTGAGAGTGCAACGCAGGTCTAAGGCCGATGAGACGGACAGAGGCGAATGTGTCAGACAACGACAGAATGCCCCGGAACTCTCGCGCGAGCAAAGAGAGCACCTCCTCTCGGGCAAACACCCGAAATGTCAGAAATAAGAGGGGATCTACAGCACTACCGACAACGTAGACTGTTTGCCGCTTGACTGCGACTTCACAGGGGGCGCGAAGGCGGAAATGCGGAAGTCCGGGGACAATTTTGCGGTGATGCTGTAGGGCCGGCTGTGATTCTAGTGTGGCGGGGAGGACACGTCAGCGGCGTTCCAGTCATCCGAACATCAAGCTATCCCATTGTCCCCTGCTCTCGTCATCATCATCGTCCTCGTTCTTCTAGTTTTCCGGCTCACTGAATATTGCTCAATGGACGAAACGGCCGCAAGAAAGTTCGCCGACCAAGCGGATCGGATCCGCCAGATGGCAATCATCGCCGAAGGCGAGCGCCAGCTGCGTATCGCGCTCACCATAGGGGAGGGTAACAAGGAGTTTGAAGCTGCTCACGGTCAGTCTCCCTTCCTCCCTTCACCGGGCATATATCTGACACACATACTGGCTACGTCCAGCTAGAGTCGCGGCGTTGGGGAATAGGGTCAAGACTGAGCTGTCGGTGGAGATCGACATGGCTGATGTCGTCCTCGCTCTCGCTCGTCCGGGCGCGTCGAGTCCAGTACCAGAGCAGGACGACAGGGTGCTCGAACCCGGAGAGCCTATGGCAAGGGTACACGTACATGTATGTAGGACGCGTCTCTCTCACGTCATCGGGATCAGCTGATGAGGAGTAGCGTTCCCCCTCTCTAGGAACCGCACAAGTGGAGCGCAAACACGTCCCTCCATTCTTGCGTAAGAAGCTGCCTGTGCCGCCAAAGCTCACCCTCGCAGAGCTGGAAGCACTGGCCAAGTGGAAGCTTCAGCGCGGAGCAGCGTTCTACAGGTGGAAAGAAGCGTGGGCCTCTGTAAGCTCTTGGGATTGCGAGTTGTCAAGTGAGTGCGGGCTGATACGAGCTATGTAGGTCCCGAGTTTCAGGGAAAGGACTACTCCGGGTTTGTCTGCGAGGGCATTCCATCGGCAGCGGAAGGCCACTAAGAAAGAGGGGCTTCCGTGGCCTTACTAGCTCGTGCGGGATCTCAGGGCAGAAATGAGGAAGAAGAGTCTGGAGTTGGAAGGGTGTGATCCTAAGAGGACGGGGGGATCGTGTAACATGAAGTGTAATCTGAATCAAGGTCTCTATTTCGAGTCATTGTTCACTTGTGAGATGGACGTTGTCAGGGGAGATCGTATCTCAAATATACAAACGGCTTTGATTAGCCGTAAGATACCGACTAGAGAGCAGTGAGCCGTACCCAATGAGTGGCAGAAGTGGTGACAAGATGACGTTGTCGACAGCGGCGAGATATTGATGGTTGTGTGGGGAGTGCAGTTGGAAGCGTTCCGTACTTCCCAGAAGATTACGGAAGAGCCGCTTGCCACGTGCATCGCTGGACCAGCAATTCGGAAGGAAACTCCGAGATTCCGACAAGTGAGTGTGTATAACTATATAGGTCGTACATCGGCCCGAACCTTCTTAAAAAGTCCGGAGGAGCGGTTGGGTGCTTACTCAGCTGACTGAAAGAGGAAGTAAAGAAGCCTTGTATGATTACGTGTGACGATCAGGGTCTAGCCTCGGGGAAGGCGGGAAGGCGGATTAGGGCTGCGGGAGGGGAGGTCGAGGGGGGGATATTGTTAGTGCTCATCACACCGTCTTGACCATCTCGTGCTTGCAAGTTCCGGAGTATTTACGCCGATTATTTCATCTCCGAGGAAAGAACACTGCCTTTGATTCAGATTAGATGGTGACCGGTGGATTACCTAATCTGGGGACAGTGCCTTCGACAGTAAATTGTACAAGTAAACGGCTCATCGACTCACTGGTTCACTTGTGGGGCGACACTCTTACTGGGCTCTCTTGCGCTCTGGGTTCTCCTTTAACGCTCCTTCTCGCGGGCAGGCGTCCATCTCACCTAGCAAGAGCACATCATGTACATCAACATCCGTTCCCTATCCCCCTCACCCTCGCTCACGATGGCCACCTACCCCCTCCCAAGGACGTACAACACCCTCATGCTGCTCGCTGCCTACCTCATCGGCATCCTCGGGACGTACACCGCTACGCAGCTCATGGCCCAAGTACCGAGCACGAGACGGTTGGGGAGAAAGCTTGCTTGGGCGGCCGCGGCGGCGTTTTCAGTGGGAGGAACGGCGGGTGTGGGCATGCATTGGGTGAAGATGCTTGGTGTGTTCCATTCCTTTGATGGCGTCATCTTTAAACTCTTCTCACGTTCATTTCTAACTTGTGCAACAGCCGCAATATACCCTTATCGCGCATCCTACCACCTCCCACTCCCACTCCTCTTCGGCACTCTCATGGTCCTCCTCACATTCCTCATCCTATCCATCGACATCCTACTAGAAGCGCGAGCAAGAGCACTTGAGGCAAGGAGGTTCCGCTTCTCCCTTCTCGTGCCTGCGAGTGTAGGGGAGGAGATCGGCTTGCTCCCTGCGTCTCACTCGGAGGTGCACGAGAAGGAAGCAGCGGAAGCGACAGCCACAGCTGTAGCAGCTGAATCCCCAGGACTGAGGAGACGTCCCACCCCGAGCCCAGAAGCGCAGAGCTCAAACTCAAGTTCCCAAAACCCGAACCATGCAGTCATGGTCCATGGACTGTATACACCAGATCTGACCCCTCCGGCAGAAGAAGGTCCCGATATCACACCTTCTTCTACAGCTTCTTCTACTCCTACACCGCCGACTCCAAGGGCGGGGAATGCGTCTTGCCTACCAATCGCTCCCCGGCCTCAGCACGCCCCTGCACTGGCCTTACCTCCGATGTCGGCATCAGCACCGCCGTCCGTCTCCGCTTCTCCTCGCCCACCTTCACCATCCCGCTTCCACGCTCATGTGCACCATCATCATCCCCATTTGTACGACCCGCCTACTTCGCACCCGCACCACCATTCTCCCACTCCCCCTGCCCACGCGCACCACCCTCACCCCCACCCACATACCCAAGGGCAAGGGCAAGGGCAAGACCGCCCAGGCACACCAGGCTCCCTCTCCGCCTCTGGCTCGTCAAACCAAGCCGAGCTCTTCCTCCCTCCCCCTCCCTCCCCCGGCCCAAACCTCGCACACCAACGCGCACAGATCTCCCGCCTCCCTCTAGGCCGCACCATCCTCGGGTGGGCATTCTGGTCCGTTTACCTCTCTGTCTCCCGCCAGATGCTGGTCAAAGCCTGCGTCCTCACCATCTTCTGCTGGCTTATGCACATGAGCGCTCTCCTCTCACTCCATTTCCCCGAACTGGACGCCGCGGGGATCCGCTATGGCTACCGGTGGGACCCACGCATGCTCCTCGCGAGCATGAGCACAGAGCTGCTCGCTGCGCTCGGCGTCTGTGCCTGGGTGGACAATACCGAGCCCAACCCGCTCGGTCAGGTATGGTTCGCCGTCTTCCTCCCCACAGCCGCTAGCACCGTACACTTCCTCTGTGTCTGGAGCGGTACGCCTTCCCCTTCCCCTTCCTATGACTCCCAGACCCGACTGACACGCATATACTCTAGGCACACTGTGGATCTCCACCCCTCCCGCTCCCCTTCCCCCAAGCCCATCAGCAGACATCCCCTCCCTCATCCTCACACTCGCAGTAACGACCTACGTCCTGTCCTACGCCACGCTCGCCGAGCAGATCACGCTCAGCAGGAACAGGCTCGCAGAGACGATATTTACCAAGCGCAGGCTCTGGAGGGTCATCGCGGAGAAAGAGGCGTGTGCGAGGGCGAATATGCAGAAGAGCGAGTTTATTGCGGTGGCGAGTCATGAGATTCGGGTGGGTACTTCCTTCCTACTTCCATTTGTCCCTTTCGTCCTTCCTCTGTTTTTTTTTTTGCTCTGTGATGTCGTGGGATGATGCTGATTGTGCACAGACACCGTTACATGCCATACTTGGGTTCACGGATCTGCTCTTGCAGACTCCGTTGACGGAAGAGCAGAGTACCTGCTTGGAAGCGATCCGCATGGGATGTAATTCCATCCAACTCATTACCAAGCACGTCTTCCCTCTCCCCCCCTCATTCCCTATTAACGCCCCCGCAGCAACGTGCTCGACTTCTCCAAGCTCGAACACAATACCCGAGATTCAGCAGCCCACGCGACAGAAGTCAACGTCCGTACTCTCTCCCTCCGGATCCTCAGGTCCGTCTCCGCCCCTCAGCGGATGACAGAGCACCAACTCCGCCGACTCGTAAACTACAACCTGCCGCAGGACGACGAGTCGCCCTCCCTTCACCTTCCGGACGAGAAACACGTCGAGCTCCTGCTCGAAGTGCACGAGGCCGTCCCCGAACTCGTACGCCTCGACGAAGTGTACATCACCCGAGTCGTCATGAACCTCATTAGTAACGCACTCAAGTTCACCGACGACGGGTTCGTCTTTGTACGCGTGACGATCGAGCACTCGAAGCACGAGCCCGCGGGCGCAAAGCCCGTCCTGGCTATCATGGTCCGCGACAGCGGGATCGGGATCCCGAGCGAGAGCAAGCAAGCGATCTTCGAGCCTTTCCGGCAGGTGGACGGCTCGCTTACTCGGACGCACACGGGTGCGGGCCTGGGGCTGGCGATCAGCAAACAGCTTTGTGAACGGATGGGGGGGACGATCGACGTGCGTTCTAAGCCTGGCGTTGGGAGCGAGTTTGTCGTCCGGGTCCCGGCGTTCGAGGGCGTTGGGGAGGTTCCCGACCCCCTGCATATGCCTAGGACACCGTTTTCCTTCATGACTGTTGCGGTGGCGGTCCGGTCACTCAAGACGTTCCATTTGTACAAGGAGCTGCTGGAGAGGAGGGGGTTCCTGCTTCGCCCGATCGACCTCGATCATCCGGAGAAAGAACTGCAAGTGTCCCTAGCCAAAGTGGATAGGTTGCTCGTCGATGTCGAGAGTCTTGCGGTCGCACCCTGGCTATTGGACTGGATCATCCGCCTCCCGCAAATACCTAGCGAAAGCGCACCAATATCTGTTTTTGTGCTCATCGATGATCTGAGCACTGAGGTTGGTCAACAGCTCATCAGGATGCTCAAAGGCTCGGGGCAGGTCGCACTCGTCCACCGCCCAGTAATGGTCCATACCCTTCTAGAGAGCCTTAAAGATGGATGCGCGCTGAGCCCGCAATCTACCGGGATCGCACCCATACTGCGGCACATCACGACGCCGCTCAACTTCCCCAAGTCGGGCGGCAAGTCCGAGAGCGAGTACGAGTACTTCCCCGCAGTGCTGGACTCGGAGGCTGCTCAGCAACCTCCTGCCCCTCGGAGGAACAGCGGGACTTTGGATTGGGAGGACACTGTTGGCCGAATTCTCAACCCTCTAGAACCGGTTGTACAACGGGCACGGGTACCACCGAGCGACAAACGGGTGCGGTTCGAGAGCCAAGCGCCGCCTCCCCGAAACGGACCTTCGCCTATCCGCTTGCGCCCGCCCGCGATTCCCGCGCTAACGATCAGCCCACGCGCTCTCGTCGCTGTGTCTCCCTCCACCGAACCTTCTCCGATCCGTGTCGTTGCACCGCTACTACCTCTCCCTCCGGTGCTTGAGCAAGTTCCAAAAACACCGCCGACACCAAAGAAGCACATCCTTCTCGTAGAGGATAACGTTGTGCGTCGTTTGCGTTCCTAGTTTAGCAATCTCACTGACTTTCTTCTAGGTCAATCAAAAGCTCGGCATACGGCTGCTTCAAAAGCTATCCCATCGGTGCGATGTAGCAGAAAACGGCAAGGTTGCACTGGACATGCTTCAGGCGAACGAGGACAAGTACAGCTTAGTTCTCATGGATTGCCAGTATGTGAAACTACATCATTAGAAGAGTCGGTCCCTGATGCCCTCCAGAATGCCTGTCATGAATGGATTTGAATGCACGCGCCAGATCCGTTCTCTGGAGCACACCGGTGTCAGGAAGGGCCGGTTACCAATCGTCGCTCTGACTGCAAATGTCTCATCAGAATCGAGAGAGGAATCTCAACAGGCAGGAGCGGACTTTTTCCTGCCAAAACCTCTCCTCCTTCAGGACCTTAAGGATACGCTTAACCAGTTCATCGCTGTTGTAGCGTGATTGTCCTTGTCATGTTCTTCTCATCTGGGTGTTTGCCTTTTGTTCTAGTATTTCTATCGCTTTCTTGCATATTTAATGCTCCGTTCCTATCTGGGTATGGGAATATTTCTTCCGACAACTTGGTCTGTACAGTGTACTCTTAGCTTGATTGGTGGCAAATTGTATGCCTAATACACACGGGCGATAGAAGATCCAACATAATTACCCATCTATTGTAATTGTACTACATCGAAACTGAATTTTACTGCTAATAAGCGCCAAACAACCACATAAATGTCCACACATAGTATGTAAGCATTAGGAAGAGTAGGGAAGAGCGGTTACGGCTTTGGGAACGACGCGAGGAAAAAGAGCTCTTCAACCAACCTGCTTCTCTTGCTTTCGGCCAGTTCATTCATATGGGTTCGTTTCCGTTTAGCCCTCGCATGGTCTCCCGAAGAACCTGTTAAACCAATCTCTTTCGACCTTGTCCTGGTCCTGTCTTGTTGAACCTGGTCCGCAATCTTCCGGCACCTCTCTTCAGCGCTTCTCATAATTGCGTGATCAATGTCGTGGGAGGATGTCATGGGCGTTTCACGGGAAGATGTGGGATCCTGTTGAGTTGCGGCAAGGAGGGTACTCGGCTACAAAGGGCATCATGAGCTCGGACATGGAGCAAGGAAGTGCTTTGGACTTACGCGCTCTTCCTTTTGTTCCAAAGCCTCCGTCCTTCCTATGAGCCGTTCTGGGTCGATCGTATGCTGGGCCACCAGGGGAGACAGAGTGTCGTACTTCGCTGAAAGGTTCTCAAGGATTTCGTGGAATTCGCTTCTCTCGCTTGTCAAAAGACGCATCTCCTCGTCCAATCCATCAATTCGCGGCTTTAGAACTTCATATTCTGCACGTGAGCTCGATAAGGTGGGGTCAGACTGATCCAGAGCGCGTCCGAAGGTCAAGAGCAATTGTTCTATTTTAGCTATCCGCTCGATAGTGTTGTTCTGAGTTACTTCAAGTTTCCGGACCGTCTGCTCGAGTTTTTCTTGATCCATATGTAGATCCACGTTCGCACTGCGCTCGACGTCAAGGGCCATTTCGCTCTCCTTGATCTTGTCTCGGGAAGCCAGCCACAAACTATTGTCCATGGTAGCGCTCTCCACTGCCTGTCCGGGCGCAACCGTAATATAGCCAGGAGATGTGAGAACCTCGGGATGATCGTGCGTCGTCGTAGGCTGGGAAGCAGTGGTTAACTCTTCCATACGTTCAGAAAGTTGGTGAAAGGCTTGCAGCTGGTCTACTGGATTGGAGGACGCTCTTTCAATAAAACCATCGACATTCTCGTCTATCCCGTTTATCTGAGTCGTGAGAAGGTTCGTTTTCTTCTTACTGGCCTGTATCGCCTCTTCGAGCTCCTTCATCCAAGTCTGGATCGCTTCAACATCCGTTCGCAGGAGGTTCAGCTGCCACGCTGTGTCGGTAACCATCTTTGCATTGGCGTTCAGTTTGATGACCTCGTTTTGTATCTCGGAGAGTTGCTTAGTAAGTGGCAACGTGGCCGCTGACAAAATTTTCTTGTTCTTTTCTTCCACCAAGGAAGCTTGATGACAGATTAAGGCGGATGTCTCAGTAGAGATTTCCACCTTTATGCCAGCTACCTTATCCATGACCTTCGCGATGGCATTCGAAACGGCTTCGTTGATTTGAGTCTTGATTTTGTCGTCAAGATCTTTGAGCACGGCAGAAACTGCTTCGTTCAACTTCAACAGGCCAGCCTGAGATGCTGATGCGACTTCCTTGATGCGTTGCCCGTGCGTCCATGAACTCGTGAGCATCCCGTTCACCGACGCCGCATGGTCGTCTTTGAAGTGGTCCAGTCCGCTCTCAAGCTCCTTCACGCGTGCTGTGGTAGTTTCGTATGTCTTATGAAGAGACTCATATGCTTCCAGCTTCGTCTGCAATGTATGGATGTAGTTCTCGCGTTTCTCTCGCTCAACATCCATCGCAATTCTCTCGATAGTAAGTGTGTTGTCCAGCCGTACAACCGCCTTCTCCATGGCCTCTAAGCGTGTATAAAAAGGGTGAGGCTGCAACGAAGGACTGCTGAATGAAAATTAGTGACGACTCGGAGAGAAAAACATGAACCTCGTACTTGCTTCCAGTCATATCCTGCGCTGCAACGTTTTCCCGGTCTTCCTCCACTTTCGGCACCCATGCACCGACGCCAGCATCTGGCGCTGTTTCGGTGGAGAACATGAGTTCAAATGCGACAGGGTGAGGGTCTTTATGTCGTAGGCGTTTGTATTCGCACAGTGGGGAGAAGTAGTCAACGCGTTGGATCAAGAAGTATCGCTTCTTTTTGACTGTCGTACAGATGATACCGTCAGGTGGACAGCCATCGATCATGATCAATGGCCTGCCACGCTCAGAAAGCGGACCAACGTAGTCCATAATGCGCGAACAACCAGAGCGGGAACTCCATTGGCGTTTTCGCAGAGACATTGACGACATCTTGAATTTGGAAGGTCGTTCCTCGAGGGTAAGAAAGAGGTGACGAAGGATGATGATGGAACTTCGCTTCTACATGGAAAACTCCCGCACATCCGCCGCACAGCTGCGGACCGGGCAGTTGGAAGCTCGATCAATGCCGCATGAAGTCTCAACAAGAAGCAAGCGCCTCTGTTGCCATAAAAGAGTAGGTTAATATTTTCATGATAATCAAAGACGACTGTGATAGTGTTGACAGATCCGTCAGGAAGTTATTCAGTATACTGCTGTATGAGTACAATTCGATGACTCAGTATCGAACTGTCTTTTGCCAAATGACGCGTCTGCTTCCGAATATTGATTGCAGAGGACAACAAGCGGATGGTGGACCGTATCTTCTCACCAAGCGCCTCTGTCGTCCTGTGAACACTGCTCTGATCATATTGGAAATTGCGGAGGAGGAGACCAACTATTTAACCATCGATAATCGAAGACGGTAACAATGCCAAGGAGGAAGCAATGAGTCTGGTTAACATCGACGATTGGTTGCCGGTGCGGCGAGGAGAAGAGGAGTTGTGCAGGCAGCCTGGTTTGAGCATCTCAGGTGCGCTTTCTATCTCGATATCTCTATCCAGTCTATTAACGAGGGTTATAGGAATGGGAGTTCGTGCAGGTGTTTATGGACAGGCGATTTTCGCTCTCGTTTACGGCCTATACTGCATCTACCTTGCTACTCTTCCGCGCGACCGACGCCACACCTGGGCGCGCAAGGCCATCTCCAGCAACAGCATTGCTGCTATGGGTATCGTCCTAGATGTCTATGCCATGTGGCACACCTATCAATACGGATTCTCAACATACGATGCGGCGGTACAGGTGAACCTCAGCCTGCTCATGTGTACCACCTGCCTCCTACTTGCTATCAGCGTATGGATGCTCGCGCCTCTCGATGCCAATGCCGATGGAGCCACATTCGCATTCCCTTTGGTAGGAGGACTGATGCTTTTCACGACGAGCATAGTCCTCGGGAATCTCTCATTAAGCCCAAGCCCAGCATTGGCCTCCCTGTTCTGCACGCACTATGGTACCTCGACACCCTACTCGTCTCCCATCGAACTCAGTCCCAAGATATCGCAATACTTCATCTTTACATTCGACGTGCTGATGGATCATCTTGTCGCAACTTTTGTCCCTAGCGTTGGATTCGGTCTCCTCTCCGGCGCGCTGACCGGCTGGATCGAGCAGCGCGGTCTTCGCGTTCCCAAGGAATGGACGAAAATGCATCTCCAGTCGAACTCTTTGACAATTATCATGCGCGGAAGCCTCAAGCTTTCAGGAATCGAGCACATGAGTCTCCTATGGCTAGGAGTATGGGCAACCAAGAACGTCAAGCGCCTCCCTTGGGCGATTGCCCTATGCGTCCTAGTGTGCAGCACGTTCATGCTCGCATTCGCATGGTGGACCGAAATCATCGTATCGGCAATTGAGAGACCTAGGGAGATGACGAAAGAGGAGCTTGTAGCGCAGAGAATTGCGTTTAGTGCCCTCGTTTTACCGACCGTCAGGATGATACCTCGACTCTGGTTGATACCCTACATTCGGCATGTTGTATGTGATAGAGGAAGGGATACAAAAGAAGACTAATTTGTATCGATACCTAATCCACAATTCTCGGCAATGTTCGTTCTCTGCCGACGGAGCTACATCAATAAACACGCCCAGGTGAGCTATGACTCATGAAGCGAAAAGGTACATGTGCTGCTGAGGATGACGCGTCCCAAGTTTGCGCTTGCTGTCAAACGAAAACATGGCTCGCAAGCAGTTTATTCCTCTCGAATCAGATCCGATCCTCTTTACAGAACTGTTACACAAGCTTGGTGTATCCGACGATCTCTCGTTCGTTGATGTCCTTTCCTTGGATGACCCGGATCTCCTGGCGATAATCCCTCGACCGGTCTTGGGACTTATCTTCATCTTCCCTGGAACGGAGACTACTTTGGCGAGTGTCTCCGAGGTGGAGAAGCAGGCAGTTCCATACACAGGCTCTGGTGAAGATGAAGATATTGTTTGGTTCAGACAAACCATTGGAAATGCTTGTGGTTTGTATGCACTACTACATACCGTATGCAACGGGAAAGCGAGGGAACACATTCGTAAGTAATCCTTCAGACAACCTCATCCAGCTGATCTACCCCGAGAAACGGGAACTACGCTCGACAAGCTGCTCAAATCAGCTATCCCTTTAAGTCCCGAAGACCAAGCGCACCTTTTGGAATCGTCAACGGAACTCGAAGCAGCTCACTCAGCATCCGCACACCAGGGTCAATCCAGCGTCCCCACCGCTCAAGTCCATACTCCTTTCCACTACGACGCTTTTGTCAAATCACACAAGTCTGGAAATCTGTACGAGCTGGCTGGGTACTGGAAAGGACCGAGGGATCTAGGTCGTGTATTGACGGACGAGGAAGACCTGCTGAGCGATAACGCGCTTGCGTTCCTCAAGCAGTATGTCGAGAGAGAGCTCAAGGCTGGGGGAGATCTGTCATGGGGTTTTAACCTGATGGCTCTTGTTCCGACACAGAATTAGTTACTGGTTCAACCGATCATGATTGTATGAACAGCTCCGATGTGTACAGTTTCACAGGATTGCACACTTTTAACAGGGCGATATCGCGATGTAAAGTGCGTACACGGCACGAATCCGAAGAGTGTGGAACAGCCAGGGAAGAAGGATGCTATTCCAGTTCCTGCATACTAGGCGATGGTCCCAGTTGAGAGTATTGACACGAGAGTCGGCAGGTCAGACCGAATATCGAAAAGGGTTGATACCATGCTTTCCCTAGAGAGGGATCATGCCGGTTGCAGCAGTTTTTAGGGAGCTCCATTATTTGCACATATAAAAGCGCCTACCAAAGAATCAGGGCAGCAGGAGGGAGCCAAGGGCATGGGAGATCCTGAGCCTAAAGTAGAAGTAGACACATGAGATATCTAGAAAACGTTAATCCCTGATGAATTTCAGATATACTTTGAAATGAACCCACTATAGAACGTCAGAAGAACAGACGATTGAAATGCGCCTTCAGTTCGTCGTTCCCCTCGAGTAATGAGTAGTAAACAGGAACCCGCGTCGACGCGCACTCAACGCGTGATCTACGGTTCTTTACCTCATGACAGTCAACATCTCTTCCCAGTTAGTCGACAGCACGGCAATACACAACACTGAACGATGATCTGGCCACTCTCTCTTTTGCCTTTCTTTGCGCCGGCACAACTACCGCTCCTGCAGGAATCTACTTCACGCGGTATCGAGACCGGCGTCTTACCTCTGCAATGGCCCGCATACAACTGCAGCATCGATCCGCCACCGGAACCCTGGCACGTCCACCACTACAACGCCCATCTGACGATTCTGCGTCAGTCCGGCTGCACAGAGTGCGAAAAACCTTTCCTGTACTTGTTGTACGGGAATAAAAAAGCGTTGCTGTTAGATTCGGGTGCGAGGAACGGGGGTGTGCTGGCAGCTGTCCAGCACGAGCTGCAGGCGAAGGGTTGGCAAGGCGAGCTAGTCGTGGCGCATACGCACGGACATGATGATCACATCGAGGGCGACTCTGAGCTAGAACAAGCAGGATACATCGTCATACCTGCTACGGTCGATGCGAACAATGCATACTTTAATATCACCGACTTTTTTGGCGCTATCGACCTCGGCACTCGGTTGGTCGATGTGATCGCTATTCCAGGGCACGAAGAGGCTTCATTGGCGTTCTACGACCACCGTACTGGAATACTCTTTTCTGGGGACTCGGTCTACCCCGGAAGACTATACGTTCCCACCACAGCATGGGACGACTTCGTCACGTCGAACAAGCGACTCGTCGAGTTCACTAAAGACAAACGCGTCACCCACGTCCTGGGCGCACATATCGAGCAGTCCCGCACTCCGTATGTCGACTATCCGGCAGAAACGGTGTACCAACCCGATGAACACGCACTGGAGCTAGGAAGGGCAGCTTTGCTGGAGATCCAGGATGCGCTGGAGGGGAAGGACAAGCCAGAGAGGGTGTATATGCGGGAGTACGCTATCTGGCCCGTTGATAGGGCCGTAGATGTCACTGTGCCGGAGGCGTCGAGTCCTTCACACGGCGATTTATAGACCGGCGCTAGGAATCGGAATCTGCATTGTGTTGATGGAACAAGGCCGCGTCTTGTTATGGCAGTATTCAATACGAACTCATTGCTATAGTACAAATTAGATACACCACGAGGCTGTTACCTCCCTACAAACTATGCGACATCCCAGCTGCGTTGCCCATATCTTTTTCCGCCTCATCCGCCATCTCAATCCAGTGGTCTCCATTGTACATCTGTGCCCCAGTTCGCATGGCAAGTGTCACCAAGTCCTTCACCACCGCCCTGTCCGCGTTCTGCAGAATGATGTTCTGCATCTCGTACGTCTTTGCAATTCGCGCCACGAGCCAGTAGATATACCTCGTCCAGTTGCTGATTTCCACAGGGGAGAGATCGAACAGCGTGACGCTCTCAAGCGCGGGAAGGCTCGCTTTACCGAGGCTGGTGAGGAAGGACTCGTGGCCTCCCTTCTTCGCATCCCACCAGTTCTGCCGTTCAGGCGCATCGAGCGGTTCAGAAAAGGACCCTGCGGCAGGGACAAAGCCAAACAGGCCTATGCGACGGAGATGCAAGAGAGGGGGGAACGTCCTCTGGCATTGGATGAGCGGTAGGTGGGTGACGTATTCCTCCAACATTGGGCAGAGGGCAAGGGAGGAGAGTTCGAGGTCGTAGCTCTTTGGCGCGTGGGGGTACAGAAGAACAAGCTTCGTCAGTGATTTACCGTGATGTAGGAGTAGGGGATGAAGTGAATCGATATCAGCGGATTGATAGGCGTCCCCGACGACTGACGTGAGTCGGGGAAGGTCGCACATGCCAAGCGCGCGGATAAATGCGGCATTCGCATCGGTCACACGGAGAGCGATATGCTGCAAGTTTGGAACTGAGAGTCGTTTGCCCGGTGTGTTGTAGAATTTTTCCTCCATATCGATGCATGCTTCGACCAGCCCGAGAACTCGGAGACAGGGTGTATGCGCGGCGAGGTTGAGCAAAGCCTCCCCAGGCGGGTTGTCCTGCCAATCGCGGAAGTGCAGTTTGCGTATTCGACTTGCCTTCATGGCGGGAATGAGTGATCTTGGGAGGTCGTCGACTGCGATCCAGAGTAACTCCTCTAGCCCGTCGCAAAGCTCGATAATCTGCCGCAGTTGTGTGGCCACGTCGTCTACCGCTCCCATTTCGCCCTCTTCCTCGAGCTCATCGAATCTGAACGCGAGATGCCGCGCAAACCGACCGGCATGATCGGCACCGACGCATTGCTGCATCATCATCAACGCCAAGTCTAGGTCGCGTGGTGTTCCCCAAAGGACGAGCGATTCGAACAAGAGAGGAAGGAGGAGCACATTCCAAGAACGGGAAACCAGTCGCAAATCCCATAGTCCGCGTTGTTCTTGCCCATCGTTTGGAAGATACGTCTCGTCATGCGACCATGCAGCAGTGAGGGATCGCATGCGACTCGTTGTGTCGTACTTCCAGCTCTCGCTCCAGTCGAAGGCCTGACGGAGGATATGCACCCACAACTCGGTTGGGAGGTGAGCGAATGAGCGTACAGACGTCGTTGACGGTGATGAATTCGTTTGTTTGCCTTCCTGGAGCTTCTCCATGTTTATTTCTGTCCTTTCAGAGGAAATCAAGTTGATCAATGACCCATTCTCGAGCCAGGCAGATCGATTAGGAGAGAAGTCGAAGTAGGGCAATGGGTGGGGATGGTAAGGGTAAGGTAAGGGTGGTGAAGAGCGACCAGTATCGTACATCCAGCGTTCCCTGTTGGGTGATTAAGTTATTGATAGAATATAGACGTCGTCGTGGTCGTCCATGCAATGAGAAGAGTTCGTGATGAGAAATTCGATGGGGTAGGAATGAGAAGGTCGGTCAGCTGGTGTGTGCGAAGTCAGGGTCACTGGGACAGAACCAAGCAGAGTAATGTAATGAAGGGGGCGTTCCGGCCCTTGTAATATAAACGCCCTTTGCTCACTCGCTCTCTTCTGACCTCTCTTTATTTTGTTCCTACAACAAAGTTATACATAGTTAGTTTAGAGATGCATGCTCATTCTGCACCTTCTGCTCTGTCTGCGCTGTCTGCTCTGTCTGCGCTGTCTGCTCTGTCTGTTCTGTCTGCACTGTCTGCACCGTCTGCTTCATTTGCTCCGTCTGCTGCTTCTGCACCCAGTGCTCCCACTGACGCCTACCCATCCACGCCATCATGCCCTCCAACGCTCTCTGCTCCTCCTGTTCCCTCTGCTCCTTCTCCTGCCACAGTGCTCTCTGCTCCTTCTGCTCCCTCTCCTCCCTCTCCTTCCACTGCGCCCTTTGCTCTTTCCGCTCCTTCTCCTTCTCCTCTTTCTGCCGGCGATAGTCTTCCATTGCCCTTTCAGGGTACTTTGGGACTTTGCATTCCTCAATCTCCCGGCACCCCGTCTCGCATACCCCGAAATGCCGCGTTGCAAGCTGAAAATCCACCAAGGTGAGGTTGCCATCCTCGTCCGTCAGCATATGGTTCAACCCCACCGCGTTGTGTTCGATACCCCTTTGGTGGACCACCCAAACGAGACGTTGCAGTTTTTCTCTAAATCTTTGAATGAAATAAGCACAAGGTTGCACACTGAATGAGACGGTCTCACTCTGGGTCCATCCAGGACCTCGAAGGCTCTCCTTTGTAGTCTAGAATGAAATATGACCACCGACCACGCTTAAACAGTCCTCTTGGTGTCACTATGCCATGGTCCCAGAGGTCTTCCAGCTTGTGATACCAAGCCAACTCTTCTTCCGCCACTTCGATATCTTTCCTGATATTGACGACCACATTGCGCTCCTCATCAAGAACCCCACGGAATACTCCCGGGTGGCCATTGAAAGTGGAGAGGGTAAGCATCCGATAGTCGTGCCGGCTCTCAGGACGGCGAGGATTCGGGTCCCATATCGTGTCCAGAAGGAACTTATTGTAGCTCGTCAAAACTTTCAATCGCGCAAACTTAGTGTAATCGGTGTTGACTGTCATGGGAGAACTCGTGGCGGAGCCGGTGGTGCTGTAATCTCAACGGTGATATCCGACTGTCGACACCAAGGGGCCCTGCGGAGCGCTGCCTAGTTTTGTGCTTGCAGATATGAGGTGGCGAAGAGTCCTAAATGTCGCCCTCCAGTGTTTTTGTGACAAAGACGCAGCTGAAAAGAGTATATGAGTGCCTGTTGTACCGTGCATCATTGCAATGGTGTGAAGAAAGCGCTGTTTGAGCGCTTACTGGCGGCGTCTCTAAATGAATATGACTCCGTACAAGCTTACGTACGCCTCCACTTTGACGCCTTTTTTCCTTGATCGCGGCCTACCATGCTGTTTGCTGTTACATATCCTAGCTGGCGTTTCCCTGTGCCTAATATGCCATCAGATTCAAGCTGCTAATTCTCGCGCTCTGTTTGGCTCAACTGAACTGCCTAGTTTGGATTGTTTGTCAGCTCCGATAAGACGGATGGTTGCGCCATGGACAACCTGCATGTCTTTGACTCGGTCTTACTACGACTGCGATGTCTGTATACTCCTTCACTGGACACATTTGATTGGTCTTCAATCATTCAGTTCGGTTTACTTCCTCTTCCACCCAGACTTGACGGATGGCAACCCGTGATGCGTTAACAACAGACCACGGATCAGCTTCCCCATCCCCCATGCCTAGTGAGGATGAGATCGCTGTTCCAAGTCTGACTTCTCCCAAGTCGCTGGTTCTTATGGCGACGACATGCCTCACGATGGTCATATATTCTATTCAAATAATAAGGGTGCAGAGCTGATTTATTCTTAGATCGCGTCCATCGGATCGATGTTCATAATGTTGCCTATCATTGGCAAGGATCTAGTGATCAACCCGGCATCACTAAAGTGGCTGGTCACGTCATACGCACTAACTTCAGTCTGTACAAGTTGCCGCTCCTATGAAGATCTTATGTTGATAGATTCTCGAAACAGGGCTGTTTCCTTTTGCTCTTCGGGCGCCTCGCAGACATCTTCGGTCGGAAAGTCGTCTTCCTTGTGGGCTGTCTATGGTTTATCGCATTCACGATCGGCTGCGGGTTCGCGACACAAGAAGGCGGTCTGACGCTCATAATCATGCGCGCCCTTACTGGCATCGGCGGGGCAGCGATGATCCCAGCTTGTATTGGCATCCTCGCACACGCGTTTCCGCCGAGTTATGCGAGAACGGTCGCCTTCTCGTTGTTTCAAGCGGCAGCGCCTTGTGGAGGCGTACTAGGCATGGTCATTGGCGGGATCGTCACGCAATATGCACCGTAGGCACTGGATCTCGCGCAGATTGTATATTGCTCATGCGCGACGTAGCATATCCTGGAGGGCACTGTTCTTCGTCCTCGCAGGGATAGGCGGTATCGTTTTTGTTGGCGCAATGATTGTCTTTCCCAAGGACCACGACTTCTCAGAGGACAAACGAGTTGATTGGCTGGGCGCGCTCCTTATAACCGCGGGCCTCGTGCTCCTTCTGTTCTGTCTCGGACAAGGGGAGATTGCCCCCCAGCAGTGGAACACACCATGTATGCTGTTTTCGTTTGTCTCATTGCTTGGTGCGTACTGAAACAGCTTCTTGACATTATCGCACTCCTCGTCCTGTCCGGCCTATGTATCCTAGCATTCATTGGCTGGGAACAATACGTCGAGGCGCATCTCAACTTTCCCCCGCTGATGAAGCTCAACCTTTTCGCTCGAGGCAAATGGAAGTTCTCTGCCGTGTTGCTCATCTCGTTTCTGGTCAACGGAGCTTTCTCCTCGTGGCAGTATTGGGCGACTTTATAGTACGGGCTTAAGTCCTGGGATCGCGATCAGAGCTGATATGCGTGCAGTTATCAGAACTACGAGAACTTGTCCCCGATCTTGACGGTTGTACGGTTCCTTCCGATGACTGTTGTCGGTACGAGCTCTCTACGCGTGTTACTCTGAATCATCGTCACTGACGCACCTCAAGGATTCTCGGTCAATATCATCTTCGCCGCCGTAGCAGCACACATCTCAGGTTACACTCTCATCAGTGAGCGTGCGTTCATATTCCACTACTACTGTAAGCTAACAAGCACTAGCGTTTGGGTGTTTCGGTACTGCCATTGCCAGCGTCCTCTTCGCGCTCATCAGCCCCGACGCGGTGTACTGGGCGTTCGGCTTCCCTGCCGCGATCTTTGACGTTCTCGGGGCTGATATGTGAGCTAGTCATCATTGTTGTCTGCCTGGCATGTGACTGACGGGATGGTAGTATTATGGCTGGGGGAAGCTTATACGTTTCTCTGGTTGCTATGCCCGAAGAGCAGAGCTTGGCAGGAGGGGTGTTTAATACGATCACCCAAGTCGTCCTGCCATGCATTAGTGATAACTACTGACTCCTCTTTTCAGATCGGAATCTCTTTCACGACTACTGTCAGCACTATAATATACGACCGGACAATGCGCACCTACTCGCTGTCTGAAGGCGTTGTGTTAGACCAATATGCAACCAACGCCTCATCACAGGCCCTGCTGTATGGCTATCGGAATGCCCAACGGACGAACCTCGCATTCGGGTTATTCTCCACAGTGGTCTCCGCAGTGCTGCTGCGAGGGATAGGCAAGATCGGTGTGAAGCCGAAGAGCAAGCAGAAAGTGCTGGCTACAGACGTAGAAGCAAGCCGAGGGTCGAGTGTAGATGATCAGCCCGTGCCAGGGAAGGGGACGGAAATGACTGAGAAAGCGTCCCAATCGCATGCGGAGCCGAGTGCGTGCCAGCCGAAGAGGGAATAAGCTTGCTTGGGGTTGAATCCCCGTGATCTTAGGTTCAACATCTAGACACCCGCATACTATAAAGCGATCCTGATGCACTTTAGAAGCAACTCATCCGTATTCCCATGTTCTCCCGCCTATCGCAAGACGTATTCTCCTAAATAAAGGTTGTCATGTCCTTGTAGATCCGCGGAGGTCTATGTTGTCAACCACAGCCCAGTCCTGCAAAGCGCTGACCGCGTGACGACATGGACACTTTAGAGCTTTTGCTCGTGGAAATGACACGCCGGGTTCGGGCCGAGGCAACCGAAGTACTTGTCCCGCTCTTCTTCTCCTCTTGGAAAGAATCAATCACCGTCCCTAACAAAGCAAACGTGCCTCATCATAACCGGTGCAAGAACTCCCGAAAACAACCCGAAGTTGGGCCACCAAGGTTCGGATAAACGTCGGCTCCGTAGCCCCGATCGAGACCCCAGAGTTGACCCAAAAGGGAAGGTGCACCGACGGCCGAATTCACCATTAATATTGCGAATGAGCGGTGTATTGATGCTGCGATGAACACTGTATGGCAGGGCTTGTTCATTTGTATGGAACCTGCACAGGCAAGCAGACAGGCATGTCCAGCGTGTTACCGTCGAACTCGGTCTGGCCCGACGTACATAGTGCTCTCATCTCGCACGCCCTCTTGCACAACATCCTCTTACAACAATCGCCCCAGTACCTTGAAGAGCCAAACAAGGAACAATGAAGTTTACCGATGGTCTCTGGCATCTTCGAGATGGAGCCAAAGCCGCCTGGGCCCTCAACGTGCAAGATGTCCAGAAGACTGAGAGCGAGCTGACGTTGGTCTGCGCTACAGTACCAATTAGGCACAGAGGGGATACGCTCAAAGGTTCGCCACTTATTCTGAGAGCTATAGGATACCAGTGACTGGGGAGAGATCAGGACCGATCATCAACATCAAGCTAACCGCGCCTGCCGAGGGCATCATCGGCGTCAAGCTGCAGCATTTCACTGTACGCATTTGCAATCTCTCAACCTTTCGCTCTCCAATACTGACCACTTTCCAATGAAAACAGGGTAAAGCACCTGGATACCCTTCCTTCGAGCTGTTCCCCACGGACGCTCCGCCTCCCTCCAAGCCTAAGATTTCCCAGCACAAGGACAGTATCCAGTTCACCGCCGGTCCTCTCATCGCTCAAATCAACAAACCCCACGGCAGCTTCTCGATCGACTTTTCCTCTTCCGATGGGAAGTTCCTTACCTCAGCTTTGCCCAAGAGTCAAGCGATGATGGACCTGCCTTGGAAGTTCACCCGTGACTCGGCGAGTGCCACGAGTTGTTTGGAGACGGATGTCAGTAGCAACCCCCAGCCGGAGAGGGAGACACCGTTTGTGAGGTATATGCAGGCAGAGTTGCAACTGAGTGCCGGGGAGCTGGTGTACGGTCTTGGTATGCAACCCCTTCTGTTCTTAAACCCTTTCCCTCCATCCTGTGGGTGAGAGGCGAGGATCGTATTGGAGCATTGGTTGATGTGCATGGACAGGTGAGCAATTCCGTGCATTCGTGAAGAACGGCCAGCAAGTGAGCATGTGGAACCGTGATGGAGGGACATCGTCCGAGCAGACGTACAAGGGTGTGCCGTTTTACCTCGTACGTGTCTTCCTTCCCTTCCAATTCTCTCCTTTCTCCCCATATCTTCCCCCTCCCCATCTCCAGAAATATTTATCGTTTAGTCTCAGGATATATGCTGACGGCGGTGTAGACGAATAGGAACTACGGCGTGTTTGTAAACGATCCGGGTGAGGTGGACTTCGAGGTGGGAAGCGAGAAGGCGTCACGCGTCGGGATCGCAGTCCGAGGTGAGGAGCTGGAGTACTACATCATCTACGGGTCTGAGCCCAAGGAGGTGCGTACCACGTCGATAACCCTATTCTCGGCATTTCTCATGCTGGGTACATGAGCAGATCCTGCGTCGATACACACTTCTGACTGGCCGGCCTGGTCTGCCCCCAACATGGACGTTCGGTCTCTGGCTCTCCACCTCTTTCCTGACGGACTACGACCAGACCACCGTGTCCGGTTTCCTGCAAGGGATGCAGCAACGTTCCTGCCCAGTCCGGGTGTTCCACTTCGACTGCTTCTGGATGAAGCAATACCACTGGTGCGACTTCACGTTCGACCCCGCATTTTTCCCCGATCCGGCCGCGTTCCTCTCCACCATTAAGAAACAGTTCAACGTCAAGGTTTGCCTGTGGATCAACTCGTATATCGGCCAACAGAGCCCCCTGTTTGCGGAGGGGGTGAAGGGAGGATACTTTATCAAGCGCACCAATGGCGAGGTGTGGCAGTGGGACCTCTGGCAGCCAGGCATGGCTATTGTGGACTTCACGAACCCGGAGGCGTGCAAGTGGTACACGGGCAAGCTGAGGAAACTACTGGAGATGGGTGTGGACTGCTTCAAGGTGCATCCGCTCATATCATTGGGGGATTTGTCCCTTTATTCATTAAATAGACCGACTTTGGCGAGCGGATCCCGCACGCCAGCGTGAAATTCCACGATGGATCCGACCCCTACCGGGCGCATAACCACTACGCGATCCTGTATAACAAAACTGTGTTCAACCTGATCAAAGAGGTGAAGGGCGAATACGAGGCGGTCCTGTTTGGCCGGAGCTCGAGCGCGGGCGGCCAGAGGTTCCCGGTTTCATGGGGTGGAGATCCGCACAGTACTTAGTGAGTCTGAGAAAGATGTGTGATGAAGCGAGGGCTGATGTGTGGGCGAAGTGAGGCGATGGCGGAGACGATGCGAGGTGGCCTGTCATTCACTCTCTCTGGCTTCGCCTACTGGTCGCACGATATCGGCGGCTTTGAGGTGTGTCCAGCTCTATTCCGTCAGGCACGCCATTTCGCCCATGCTGACAACAATTCAGGGCCATCCGCCTCCCGAGATTTACATGCGCTGGATATCGTTCGGTCTCTTCTCCTCCCACAGCCGTCTTCACGGCTCCGGCTCCTACCGTGTTCCCTGGAACTACGGCGAAGACGCGGCGAAAGTGATGGCCAAGTACGTGGAGACGAAACACAGGCTCGTTCCGTACCTCTACGCACAGGCGATCAACGCCCATCTGACGGGAGAGCCAATAATGCGCGCTACGTTCCTTGAGTTCCCGGCAGATCGGACAACCTATCATCTGGACCAACAGTACATGCTTGGACCATCATTGCTCGTTGCACCTGTGTTCGGGAACGACCAGCACATGCACGAGTACTACCTCCCGGCCGGGAAGTGGACGTCCTTCTGGGACGATGCGAAGGTCGTCGAGGGCCCTCGCTGGATCAAAGAGACGGTGCCATACGACACCATCCCTGTGTGGGTCAGGGAAAGCAGCGTGCTTGTCCTCGGCCCTAAGGGGGCAAAGGTGCCGGACTATGATTATCTCGAGAGCGGCACGGTCAAGGTGTACGACGGGCCTTTTGAGAAGCTTGAGGTGATCATACCTCGCGGGAAGGGCAAGGAGGTTGCAGCTACTATTGCGATCAAGCGCTCGCAACAGGGCCACATCTCCGTCAGCTCGAAAGGAGACGATATTTCCGCGCTGGCGGGACAGGTCATCAAAGATGGCAAGGCGTCAGCACTGAAACTGACAGAGTATTGAGTATGATGTGCGACTGACGATGGCATGTCGATTATGCAGAGATATAAGTACACAAATGATCATCTTGTCCGCTCCTTCCATCCTTTCTACCTCAATTAAAGCGTCATTTCCTCGGCAGCTCCTCCGCGTCTTCTTCATCCACTCCTCCAAGCTCGAACATCTCCGCCTCACCGGCATGAATAGGAGCGTAGGCATGCCCATTGCCGTTGTCTAGCTTTACCCCGCCTTCCCTGGCCACATCTCCGTTCTGTCCGGCATACATGTACAGGTGAATGAGGAGACATGCATGAAGGCAAATGACAAATCCCGCGCTGAAGAGGATGAGCGAGTACGTAACGTGGTCCACCCCGAGGGAGTCGGCCCAGCGCAGCTCCTCGTCTGTGGCGGACATGAACAAGCATCCGCTGCAGATAAGCCCCAGAGGGGGCAGCCACTGCCAAGGGCTTATGTTGCCCTCCCTGACGGTGCCGCTTGGTTGACCTCGTAGGACGAAAACAATCTCGACAATGCGCGTGAGGGCGGCGGCAATGAGGGTTATGCCGAATACGGCGTGGACTGCCGTGCTCAGAGCGAGCGCTTGCACATGAGCTGAGAATGCCCAGCCGGTGAGGAGGATGATTAGGGCGGGGAGGAGGGAGCGCTGGTTGTTTCGCGAGAGGAAGATGCCGAGCGCGCCGCCCGCCCACCCTGCGACATGTTAGTAGGTGCCAACAATGAGAGAGAAGCAACGGACAAACAACACCCATCATCGTATGCTGCAAATCTTTGTGTGTCCATGGACCGCCCTGGTGCTCGGTAAAGCTGTTGACGACACCCTGATCACTATCAGCCGGTGTTGTCATCCCGCGGCCATCGACTCACCCAAAGACAGATAACCCAGCTGTCAAACCATTCCTGACTCCGTTTCTCCCCAATAAAGCTCGCACCAACGCAAAGCAAAATGAGCAAAATTATACCATACGCGATGAACGCGCTGCCCATGATATAGTGTGCCAAACACTGGCCGAGCGCGCCGCCTCGACAATATCCTCCCAACGTGGCGAATCCAAATACGGTCTGGACCCATCCCACAACAGGGTAGAACTTTCCTAAAATGCCATGGGCGCGGGCTGCCCAAGGACGGAGGGTCTTCTCGTGGATATGCAATCTGAGGTAGATTCCAAGCGCGGTTTGGGCAGCAAGCAGGAAGATGATGACAGTAGCCATCGGGACATGGGCCGACCAAGCAAACTCTCGTCCGCCGTGCGAGTGACCCAGCACATACCCGGCTGTAGTAAGTGCCAGACCTGCCACCTGCATCGGTACATGCCACCGAGATTTGGCCATGCCGAGTACCATGCCTGCTGGGAAGACGACGAGCCAGACGAAGGCTTGAAACGCGACGTGCAACCAGGTCATGGTGTCGATCGGCGCATTGAGGTCGATCTCGGCTTCATCGTGATGTTCATGGGCGTGCGCTGCCAGCGCTGTTACGAGCAGCAGCAGGAGTGAGGAGGGAAATGGCGGCATGTTGGAGGTCGACGACAAAGATGTTGAGCAGGACGTCTGCGAGACGTCGTCGAAAGGGCGCGGAAGCGTTACGTAAGATTACGGCTCGGTGTTTGTGATTTCGGCGGGGCCTATCTCCGAAGGTCTCTCTGTGTGTCCTGCACAGTCATCTCGGCCACTACTGACCTACTCGTGATCCTAACCATCTCCTTCGCTCACGGAGCCCAATTCAAGCTAATGTCACTGATCCGACTCTCTGGAAAGATATTCATGAAGCTATACCCCTTCTTTCTCCTACGGTCGCCTAAAGGGTTTATCATCTGCGGCTTGAGCTAACAAGCCGTCTGCGGCACGCCCAACCTTCCGTTTGTCCGACACAGCCAGGAATTCAATCTTCGTCTCTTCTGCATTATTTGTGGATATGATTCTAATAATGCCTGGTTCTGTGATCAACAGTCGCCTCCCCCAATACAATCTTCTCAATGGCCATTTCGTGCTTGCCTCGAATGCGGAGCGGAGATGCGCTAGAAACATCTCTCGAGCGCGCTCTGCTATTCTACTGCTATGCCGGACAGAGCACATATACCGAACTAGCAGTGCTCCATCAAGTTCTGGCATGTGTGCACCTGGTGGAAACCAAATGTATTTCCAACTGCGCGCATCTCTTCATACCAGTGACTGGGACATAAAAGTCAATGACAATGCTCTCTTCGTATGGGTGTCCTGAATACTCATGGACACACCTGCTGAAGTTTTGGAATATGCAGCCGCCATCAACGACATACGTGTACGAGTCTTATCAGCTCGGGGTGACGCTGAATGCTAATTCGACCCACAGCTGGGCTCCTGCGTCGCACTCGCCTTGCTGTCGTACGACTACGTTCTAACTTTCCGACAAGAAGTTCTCTACGTCTGGTTTGCACCCTTTAACTTCGGGAAATTTATCTTTCTTGTTATTCGCTACCTTCCGTGGTTGGATCATTGTGCGATCTTGCTTGGTACGTTCTTCTTCCATATGTACGGTGCATGATCTCACCCCGAAAAGAGGTGACACTTCCTTATCCCATAGCCAACTTGTGCCGCATAGCTTCCTATTGGCACTACAGTACGTTCTGAAGTCTCTTCCGATATTCCCTCGGTTCTCTGACACGGTAAAGCCTGCTGCGTTCTCGGCGCTCTCCTCGCGGACGGGGTGATCGGCCTCCGTACCTGGGCGATCTGGGGCCGCACCCGCGTAGCAGCAGCATTCGTCCTACTCTCATGGATCGGGATGGCTGTCGCAGGAATCTATTATTTCTCGTTGTATCAAACCGGTGGTATCACCTGTACGTGCGCCCTCGACCAGATGTGCTCCTGCTTAGAACGCCGCAGACGAGCCACTCCCCCCTGCAACACCTCAGATCTTTGGGTGCCACTTTACAGTGGGCGGGTCCGATGCCTCGTTCAAGATGTATCTCGCCCTCGGGAGCTACCAAGTCGGTGCGTCGTCTAACCTCCACTTAATGTCCGCTAAACGGGGTGTAGTAATCTTCCTCGCCACGGTCATCCGAGGGTCTCATCATCGTATGCTTCCCCCCATCTTGGCGTGCCCGGTCCTGATCAGTTCTAGTTCGTAACCATCCTGCTCACGTCATGAGTATCATGTACCGGGATGCGTTCTTAGCTTCTACATGTCTCTTCAGTATGTGCCGTTCTTCTCTCCTGAATTCAACTGAAAACATCCCAGTTATCGTAGCATCAAACATGATCCTCGCCCTTACAGACGTGCGCCTCTCTCCTCCTTCCCTCCTAAACTCTCTGATGCCCCCGCAGTCCAGCTGGCAATACGGCCTCATCGTAATCTACCGAGCCTTCCTCGCCGTCCTCCCTGCAAGGATCATCCTCAACATGCGGGAAGCGTCTATGTCTGTTACTGGGGAGGGGAGTGCGCTTGAGCCGCCGAAGATCCCTTCCCCCCCCTCGACGAGACAGCAGAGCAGGAATGTCAGCCAGGCTGAGCTGGCTACCTCTGTTTAAGGGATGATTGTGAGAGCCATGAAAAAGGGTCATAAGAATTTTGCATCGGACTCAGAATGGAATCAAGGGCTTTCAGTAATATAAGAGAATCATGGACTACATGCATGTACCGCATAGAGATACAACGAGCCGTAATCAGACTAATCCCGCTTGAATTGAGATCTCTACGCCAAGGCGGACTTCCTCTCCTTCTCCAGGGCGACAACGCACTCCCAGACCTCTTTCGTAATCTCCGTCTCATGCCGCAAATACGCTTCCAACCTGTTAGCAATGAGCACTCAACTCCCTCAGGTGGAGAAAACCCTACTTGGCGAGAGACATCCTCAGGCTCAGGTCGTCGGCTGTAAGCCCCTCCTTACGTTCTCTGACGAACTCTCCTTGGATATACTCTGCTATCTCCTTTCCGATATGTACGTTCTTACCCGCGGACTGGGACTTGCAGCCGGCGAGCCAGAGACGGTATTCGGTTGCTTGGTCGGGTGTTAATGGGGCAGGTGTGGGGCTGCTGGAAGCTGGGCGGAGAGGAAGGGTGATATCCGTCTGCGTTTTGTTAGCGTGTGACGCCTAGGAGTAGGGGGGGAAGAGAACGTACAGTAAAGAATGGGCTCTTTGGCCCCGAGCAGAGGACGACGAACGAGAGATCTGTAGGAAACTCGTACGAGCTGAAAGGGAAGGCATATGCCAGTGTCTGCGCTGTCATAGTAGCTTGCATGGTAGCGATATTCCTCACCCCTACCGCCTGGTCAGACACGCGTTCATAAGCATATAAAGACGCACCCAGGTCGCCCAGCTTTCCTTCCCCTACACCATGCTCGTCCACGAGCACCACAGTCCCCGGTGCGAGCTGCAGCACTCCACTTCTGAGATCTTCGTCTTCCTCCCTAACGGAAGACGAAGGTGCGAAAGGAGTGTCGTTCAGGTACGCAATAGAGAGAGGGACGTGGACGACAATAGGGAAGAGCTCTTCCAGGCAGGAGCGGAGGGCGGCGGTGGTGGTGGGAGAAGAATGGGAGAGGAGAAGAGTGGGAGGTGGGAGGAAGGGCGTTCGGGATTGACTGTTCCTCTTCAGTCTCGCTTTTTGAGCGAAAAGCAGAAATGAATGCGACTCACACTCGGGCGATACAGCACAAGAGGACGTACTCCGCTGCTAGCATGTCCCCGCCCAACGTTGTTTCAGCCAAGTACCGCACGATCTCCTCCTTCACTTCCGCTCCTGACCTTCCTCTGGCCGGAGGCATGGGATACACGGCCTTGACCAGCGTATCCTGTGCAGGGGAATGGAATACCACATGCAGGGATGGTAACTCTGCTTCTTGCTCGTCGTCGTGGAGGTGGTTGAGCCGAGGCTCGAAAGTCAAAATACCGACGAAAGAGTGTACGGCGGAGGGCTTGAACTCTGCCGGAGGGTAGGACTTGACAAGCAGGCCGATATGGGGCGTGTGGGGGAGGGGAAACTTGTGCGCCATCAACGTGGGCTGGGGTGATGCTGCTACTGCTGAAGGTGAGGCGGGTACATGCATGAGAGGGATGGACGTACGTCCTGGAGTTGACTTCTCTACCCACGCACTTTCGCCTGGTACATTCACTGCCCAGACGACACCTCTCTCCTCCCACTGTGTTCCTCTCCCTCCTATGCCCACTCCCAGCCCTGCACCCCCGCCGCCGGACTCGACAGCCCCCAAGGCCTCCCTCATCCCTCCCATATCAAACCCTCCATTCACAGCAGGCAAACTATCGAGCCCATACCCCAGGTGGGAGACATATATCTCCGGAGATATGGACGTGTCTTGTATCATACCCCTGAAGCGCACCAAGCTGCCAGAGGGGTAGGACGCAGGAGGGTGATGCACGTCAAGCAATGGGATCTACGCGGGTTAGATTATGGCGAGGAAGGGAGTGTGAGCATACCTTTTGATCATCAGGAAAGAGGGAACGGAAGTGGGCGGTGATGCGTGCGTGGGGATTGGATTGGGACTGGAGGTCGTTGATCACGCTGAGCGGGTTGGAGAGCGCGTCGGAGAGGGCGGCGGTGACCATCGTCGACGTCGAACAAGAGAAGCAACGCGTCGACGCGTCGGACATTGCCTAATCTTTTCTTGTACATTTTATTTTCTTATTCCAATTCAATACAACAAAAGATATCTACTTTCACTATAACACAAATATGGGGATCACCAACAAAGAAAAACTATGTTGTCTACCTTCCGTCCACAAGCCCAGCCCAGTAACCATACACACCACACCTGTGTGGCCAGCTAGTAACCATCCCTGCAAAGCCCACAGCATGATACCCGGTCCACCATCCTCGGGGCATCAAAGTCATCCCAGTCCTCGTTTTCACAACAACAGCAACATCTCTCCCTCAGTCCCAGCACACATTCCGCCAAACAACCATCGAGCAGCTCGGCGCACCCTGTCCATGCGCCTCCACACCACCAGCCGACCGCCCGCAGGCCCTCAGTGCACCCTTCACATCCATAGAGCAGGTTCTCGAATACGCTCGCCGGTTGACGGAGGTCGTGTAGCTCTTCCCCCCTGCGCATAGAGACAGAGACTTTGAACGCCCAATGTACGTCGTTCCCTCTATTCCTCGGCAGGGGCTCTCCCCACTGCGCGGGAGTATCCAGCCCCTCCCCGAGGGATTGGGGGACGTACACACGCACCCGGGAAGGGTGAATCGACTCCCTGGCACAGATGTAGTGCCGTAGCGAGGAGATTGACCCTGGTGGAGCGAGGTGCTCGTATGCGAACTGAGCGAGGGAAGGGTCGTCTGCGTGAATCCGTTCACGGGAATGTAGGGGAGGGCCGTCTTTCTCTGTATCAATGGTTAATTAGACATACGTGAAGTGCAATGGGGCGTACGGTAGAGCCGATAATACCCTGCTCGCGTTAGTATTGGGTGGAAAACAGAGAGGATACAGCGCACCCATCGTCAACCTGGCATAATTCCCCTGCCCTCTACGCATCGGGAACTCCAAACTCGAATTCTCATCCTTCTCCTTCGCCCACGGAAGAGCGGGCGCTACCAATGCCGTAGCTGTAGGAGGCGACGTAGGGGCAGGTACATCTGGTCTGCGCATCGGCTGCACAGCGGTTGGAGGACGGCGTACGACATCCCTGTGAGTTGCGGACCATTGTTCGCTCGGTCCAGTTGGAAATGACATCGTTCACCAGACTGGAGGGCATAGCATCGAGCTGAAGTAGGTGATAAAATAGCCGCTCTTAGACGGGATTCGCATTGCTGGCGAAGCACCGCTCTTTGGGCACGAGGCGCCAATCAGCCGGGAAAGCGGGGATAGAATTTGAGCGCAAGGTGAGCATAGATGTTCACACAGTTGTATTTTATGACTTTTTTTTGGCACAGATGGAGTGGAATAATTGTTGCTGAAGAACTAATCTGTTGAATTTATTCATTCACCTTAAGAGGAAAGAACATTTGATATGCGTCACGTGCTCACCGCAATGTATGCAGTGGCAGTGCTTCGAATTGGGCGACGCTGTGAGTCGCGACGCGTCGACGTCCTTTGCCACCACCTTCTCCTCAACGACCATGTCCACCTCCGTCAGCTCCATCTTCCCCTCCGGCCTCCCCTCTTCCCTGTACACCGTCCTTCACCTCGACACCCACGCCTCCTCTGCCCAGATCCGGGGTGCATACCGCACGCTAGCACTCGTTCATCACCCTGACAAGCACGCGACCGCCTCCCAGGAGCAGAAGGACGAGCATGCACTTGTCTTCCAGCAGGTTCGTCCTTTCGTATCCCTATAATAAGTCAGCACCTGATGTGTACAGGTGGGGTTCGCGTATGTGGTATTGAGCGATGCGGGAAGGAGGGAGAAGTACGACCTTACGGGATCGGTGGAGGAACTGTCGGACCTGGGGGGCGAGGCTGGATGGGACGCCTACTTCGAGCAGCTGTTCGAAGAGGTCACCAAGAGTCGATTAGATGAGGATAAGGTGCTATACCAGGGTGCGACATGCCCTTTCTTCTTGTAGCGTGTCGCTGACTGCATGGGCTGTAGGAGGGGATGAGGAGCTCGAGGACTTGAAACGTGCCTATGTGGAGCATGAAGGTGACTTGCCATCTATATTGGACAGCATACCCCATTCGAACTACACGGATGAGCCCCGCCTTCTCGCCAGGCTCAAGCTGCTCGTCGCTGATGGTACGCTACCCTCTTTTCCGGCGTGGGAAAAGACGCTAGCGGATAAGAGGGCGGCGAGGGAGAGGAAAAAGCAGGGAAAGGCGGAGGAAAAGGAGGCGGAGGAGATGGCCAAGGAGTTGGGTGTGTGGGACGAGTTCTATGGAACGGGGAAGAAGGGGGCGCGACAGGGGAATGGGAAAGGGAAGGGAAAGAACGGAGAGAAGGAGAATGAGGAAGAGGATACGAGCGCGCTCCAAGCTCTGATATTGAAGAAACGTCAAAACGCCGGGAACTTCCTAGACAACCTCGCTGCCAAGTACGCGCAGCCGGAGAAACCGAACGGGAACGCAAAAGGGAAAGGGAAAAGCAAAAAACGGCCGGCTCCGGAGGAGGAGGAGGAAGAGAGCCCGAAGAAGATGAAGAAGGACGTGCATGACGAGCTGGATGGGATGGACGACGAGTTGTTTAGGAAGTTACAGGAGGGGATGTTCGGTAAGCGGGAAGGTGGGAAGAAGGGCAGAAAAGGGAAATGATTCCAGTTGAGGGATATACGATATTGTTATTCTATATGTTGAGGCCCGGTATTCTTGGACCAGTTGTGAGTACGTTTGCGGGCGATGGGGTGTGTGATATCACTACAGCAGTGTACTGATCGAGACTACCAGAACTTTACGATGTTCTATCTTAGGCTTCTGAAGACGACGCCCAAGCAAGGAGATCCTTCGCTGCGCTTTGATGTTTGCTAGTCGATGAGATCTTGAGGGACCGTTATCCCTGGCTGATGAAACACTTGATGCAGGCAGGCTCTACAGCCTCGTGATTCGTGATTGTTAGCATCACGCGGAGAAAATAGGGATGAATGGTTCTTCATCTATGTCATCGCTGCGCTAGCTATCGATACCTGACTTGCTTTCTATGTGCAGCACTCGTGATATTCTGCTGGAAGAATGTGCAATGCTCCACTTGCGTTTGCGTACCTGGCTGGCACCCACCCCGCTGTGATGGACTCTCAGCCCACATTCCTCTCGACAAGACATAGCAACCGCCGCCTACATCCAGCCCAAGTGAAACCATGTCGACTAAATGGCCACTAGTTCTGTCCGAACTCCGGCCGTACATGGCTCTGCCCCATCCGCTGCCGACGCATGGACATCCCGCAGATCCAGATCCCACCAAAGGTATTCGCGCGGCGTTTGCGTCCCTTCCACCAACGTCTTTCTCGGTCGGTGTGCAGACAAAATCGATCAATGTCGGGCAAGTGCGCACGTTGGTCGTCCGCCCTCCTGAAAATGTCGAGGTCAAGCAAGGCGTGGTCATCTACGTGCTCCATCCAGGTGGATTCATCTTCGGCGCCCCCGAGTCGGAGGCACCCCTACTCTCCACCTTTGCCAATGCGGGTTACATCTGTATATCTCCCGACTATCGACTCGCGCCCGAGCACCCGTATCCCGCCGCGCATGACGACGCCTATGCGGTATGGGGGTGGCTCATCTCCGTAGGAGGCGGACAAGCCACCCTCGGTCTCGATCTCAATAAGATCATTCTATTTGGGACGAGCGCGGGGAGCGCCCTCGCGAGTTCTCTGACCTTCCGACTGGCTGGCGAGAAAGCTGACATCATGCCACGACTGGTGATTCTCGATTCGCCACATGTAGACAGTCGCAAAGGCTCGTTTCCGTCCATGGCCGACGACTAGAAACCAGCCAAAGAAGGCTATATGTGGTGGGCGACCGAAGGCTGTCACAACATCAACCGGTATTCTTTTGGAGAAGGTTCGCCTGCGGCCAAAGATGAGGGCGCGCCGGAAGGGGCGTTCGTCAACGAGTACCCCTTGTCGAAATATCACGAACTGGCGGAACGGCTGCCTCTTTCTACCTCCTCGTTTGCGAACTCGACTGTATCCGAGACTCCGCCCTTGAGTTTGCGAGCAAGCTGTTCACGGCCGGCGTGAGGACCGATCTGATCGTGAAAGCCGGAACTCCGCACTTTTATACCGGGTTCTTCCCGAATATCCGTGTGACAAGAGAGACGAAGGAGGGATATCTTGAGTGCATCAGACGAACCCTGTACGACTATTGAGCGGAATTTCCAGGTAGAGCAAAGCGGCTATGGGTAACATCTCAATCTGTTATATAAAAGGATCGGGCCTCAGTCAAACGCCAAACTCCACGGGGCGGAACGTGCTTCCCAGTAATCATCAACGAAGTTTCGAATTGTGCGCTTCTCCGAACCTTGAACGATATCATCATCATCCCTGCCTTTGAACTTGTCTGCGCACTGCCTCTTCAGCCCAGGCACCAGTTCCGATTGATGTATATGGACGGCCGCAGGAGTCCATACAATGCTTCTGCCAGGTTTGAGGACACCTGAGGACGTGCTCAAAGTGAGTTTTTCGACATCCGTGGACATCATGTGCTTTGATGGGCTTGACACATGTTACACGACCCGATCCCCTTTTTTGCCCACTTGCCAACATCATCTCTTTTGGATGATTAGGTATCGCCAAAACGTATGTGCCGCTTGTCCCTCGGATGGTCGTATTCTCTCTGGGTGGCATGTGCCAATATCAGCAATGATGTGATGTCGGTCCCGTGCTTTACGAGTCTTCTTCCTTCAACTGCTAGAATCCAGACAATCCTACTTTCTGATGATCAGTGCCTTACGGACCTCTCCCAGGTCGGGAACTGGGATAACAGTGGTTGTCAGAAGAAAGAACGGCCCATCTGCGGGTTGACAAGGCGGTGCGGCTTGACTGGCCAATTCTTGCGGCGTCTTCCTGCTGGCAACATCGAAACGCCAAACAACATGAATGGTATATATGCAGACTGTTATAGGGGAGGGAAGATGGGCAACACTGTTTAGACGTGAGAACAATGGATCAAGAGACTTTGGAACTCACGGTGCAGGCTGCACGATTTGCTGGTGTGAGTACTTGATGAGACTGGATCGGCTGGCGCTGAATGGTCGTGTGACCTTTGCCTAGTATGACATGGGTCAGTACCCACCCTCGTCCAAATCTGCGCTGTCTGCTGATGTATAGTGTGTAGTGGCAGCAATGGCTCTATTTGTGCGAGGTCGATGCCAGATCCCCAGAACTGGAGGAAGACTGACCCGACAACCAGGCATACGACTACCTGCTCATGCTGCCCAAGGAACAGCAGTATGTCTGGGGCGCAAAGTGGACACCGGGGAAAGTGATGTACTTGCTCGTCCGCTATCTCCCATTCTTTGACCTCCCCCTCTGGGTCTTCGGTGAGCTCGTTGGTTGTCGTTCTGTCCTACCAGGATTGACCGGCCGTGATATCAGATCAGGGCTTCATGGGGCAGCTACCTATGGACTGCGCGACTGCAACACTCGTTACTACGATTCCCGAATTCATTGCAGCGGGTGTAGCCGATATCGTGTTCGGTTTACGAACTTGGGCGCTGTGGAACCGAGGAACTGTAATGGGCTGCATAATCATCGGCGGCTATATTTTGTTCAATGGAGCCTCTGTAACGGTCATCTCAGCCACCCCGTCTGGTCTTACCTGTGAGTGCTCAGTTCCCCGCGGATGGTCTGCTGTACCGACAGTTTGGATCGGTCAGCCGTACGTATCCCTGGTCTTGCAGGCTGCTTCACGCCTCCATCCAAGTCCAACAGTTTGTGGATCTCTTACTTACTTACTACCAGTTACCAACTCTGTAAGCCAGTACCCTCCTTGATCTCTTAGGCGTCGCTTAAATGACCGTCTAGTTCTGTTCCTTCTTACCCTTATCCGAGGAGTGTACTTTTGTAGGAGTCTTTGGTTAGGTCGTCAATAGCATAGCTCACGGACACACAGGGAGGAAACGACAAGCGCAAAACCTCATGATGGTTCTCTTTCGAGATGGTACGTGATGTAGATAAAGAAATCGCGAAGTTACATGGAACTGAGACTTGGTCATCCAGCTTTCCTCGCGTTCTTTGTCCAGTGGAGTGAGTGATCATTGACCAGTGTGGGTCGCGCTTACATCGCTCAGCCATCGGATTTGTGACGATGATCATGCTCAAAAAGGTTTATTGCAGCCTTGCATCTGTCTTGTTGAGCAATGAACTTACTCCCCAATCAGAACGACTCGAATTTTGCCTTGAACGCCCTTTATTGAGCGCTCCTTTCCGTTCTTCCTTTGCGGATAATCCTCAATATTCGAGATGCGGCCAATGGGTTTATTTTGGACAGTTGGGATGTAGCACGGGATGCAGAAAGCACTGCTATTCAGTCAAGCCAGTTTTCACTCCGCGCTCGCACTGAGGAGCATGGGGGATCTACAGATGAGATTTCAAACCCCCGGACCAGCTACACGGTGAGGGACTGAATTGAGAGACGTCTGTTGGTTGATTATTCGAGTCTTTTTTCAATATTGTTCCACCGTCTCGGACTGATTGTCAGATGGCTGCTGAGAAGCATTCCAACCTGACTGCCAATACAACGGGCCAAAGAGTTCTCGAGGCCACTGGGGTATCGCCGCTCGTGAACAGGGAAATCCAGCCGAAGTCAAGGTGAGACAGGCTGTTCGTGTTGCAAGAAATGCTCGGCTACTCCGTTGCTCAGAGACTCAGACACCAGCGATGCTCCCCTGTTCTTCTTGATGAGGCTTGCTATTCTGAACGTATGGATGTGGGGTTGATAGTTCTGGACTGAATGCTTTGAGATTGCACACGTGGCACACATCAATCGGCTGTCGTATGGTGTACGTAACACACAGCATAACCGCCCGGGAACCCCGCATGCCGCATGATCGGATGATCACAGCATCAGCATCAATACTAACCAAGGATTTACTGTGCGGCCAGAAACTGAAGACGATGGACAATGTGGAAATCATCAAGAATCCCATCGCAATGCATGGCTGATGGCGAACGAAGGGCAGTGTGACTACTTGGTTTGCTGGCAGGACCAGAGCACATCTATTGGTACATAAAGTACTGTGCGAGGCAAAAGCAGATAGGCGCCGTACTCTGTACAGATGGATCCTCAGATATTGGATCCAGAGCCTTGAACTGACTGTAACAGCAGCACACTTTGCAGGAGTAAGTGCAAGTTTTGCGGGTCATCGATTTATTTCTGACCCTTTCTATAGTATGAGATGGGTGAATAAACACAGCTGTCAGAGCCTGGGGTATTTGCTGACAAACGCCGCCCACAAACAGCGGCCGCCATGACGCTCTTCGTACGCTGTCGCAACTACATGATGGCCGGACAAGAGGCTGACTAGGACCATCGAGGCTTATGATTACTTGCTCATGATCCAGAAGGAGCGGCGGTATATTTGGGCCGCGAAGTTGACGCCGGGGAAGGTGATGTATCTGCTTGTTCGCTATCTTCCTTTCTTGTATCTACCGCTTTGTGTGTTCGGTGAGCCCACGTCAGTCCATCCTTCATGATGTTCAGACTCAAGTTTGTAACAGAGGAGGGCATAATGGGCGACCTGCCCCTGGACTGCGCGAAAGCGACACTCGCCTTGACGATTCCCGAGCTACTTGCCGCTGCCATAGCTGATGTTGTTTACGGCCTACGTTCTTGGGCCGTGTGGGGCCGAGGATTCCCGATGGTCTGCCTGATCATAGTCGCCTATATCTTGTTCAATGGAGCAGCGGTTGTAATCGTTTCGATCGATCAGTCCGCCCTAACGTGTGAGCGCTTTATATTCTCTACATATCATCCACAACACTCACAATTTGAACTCACCAGCCGTGCGTATTCAAGGCCTGAGTGGCTGCTTCACTCCTCCGCTGCACTCCAACAGTTTCTGGGTTGCTTACTTACTTAACACGACCTTTCAACTCTGTGTGTCTAGAATTACTACGAGCTGCACACGTCGCTGATCCATGCCCAGTGCTGCTCATTCTTACTCTTCTGAGAGGATTGCACTTCTGTAAGACCCAGGCTTCATATTTTCCGGCAACTGGATTAATTGAGTCTCAGGGAGGCGACAAACAGGAAACCTCACTACAGTCCTCTTTCGGGATGGTAGGTGGCAGATCTGGACGCCTTCTTCCGGGAACTCACAATTCGTCGACCAGCATTTCTCGCATTCTTAGCCCAGTGGAGTGAGTGCACGTTTCCACACTACAGTCTGCGGACCAAGCTCACTTATAACAGGCGTAGGCATTGCAGCAGTAATCATGCTCGTCACTTTGGTATGGTCCCCCTTCTCTGGCCTTGATAGAGAAGTCACCCGCTTCCCTTAGAATGACTCGAGTTACGCTCTCAATGACGTCTACCGGGTACTTGCTTCTGTGCTTCCATCGCGAATAATCCTCAATATTCGAGAAGCGGCCAGTGAGGGCACATTGGATGGGTGGGATGTAACACGAGAGGTGAACAGTACCGCTTTCGATTCCACCACATATGTGGGATCAGAAAGGTAGTTATAGGTTGAGGTGAGGACTTGTGTATGTTTCGGTTCAGTAATGTGTTTTGTAAGTCCGATGATATTGTTCATTTACGATAAGCGCCGGCAGGAGACCGGGTCAGTGAGTGTCTCGAAACTAAGATATAGATGATTAAACTCACTGTTCGGGCTTCCGTCAATATGCAACATGCCATGCAAAGGCTATGTGATAAGAAAAGCAGTGTTTTCCAGGAGGTAAGGCTCAGGTTCAGTGTTAGGTTAGGGTTGACACGAAACCGCAAAGTGCTTTAAGAACTGTATAGTGAGGCTGTGCATTCAGGGCCGGCTTCTCCCATTCGTCACAATTTCAGACTGTACATGTTGGCTCGTCCGTGGCTTTATGACTTGTATCACTGCAATACGACTTGCTTATATGTTGTCTGTGATATGCGACTTTGCCGTCTGATTTGTTATACTGTTCAAATCCCGTTGGATAGTCATTTAATTCTGCTGCCCAACCCTATCCGCCAGGAACATATACTATCCAGTTTGAGCCTACTACCGCCGGCTACATGCACTCTTTAGCCGGCTAGCCAGAGCTCAGATTGATCGTCATCTTAAAATCAGAATTCTCCAACAGCGTCAACCTTCTCTGCCACGCTTCAATTCTTCTGATTTCGATGGCTGCACTGCCTTACGGTTTTTAATCGGAACAACGACGATATCGCCCTGGAAATGTACAAACCAGAGCTAGGCATGGCAGCTGACGACGGGTTTGTGGATTATCGACTATCCGCGCGAACACCGTCATAAACAACTGTACTGCACTTGTCAGATTGCTGGGACATACTAGTACTGCACGTTGTAGCCTCACCTTGCCGCCGGTTTTCCTCGCATCCGACGGCTTCGGCTCTCACGCCAACCCCTTCTTTGTTCCTCATGCGCGTGGACGCATGTGAAAGGAATGTCGGGCAATGATACTGTTACGGGCAATGCTCGCATATAGATCACTCCGCAAGGGGGTTGATATCCCGATGTCACTGATGTTGGGGTGATGCCAGGGGGCGCAGTACCAAGCGCTGGACATACACCTCCCTCCTCGTCTTCTCTCTCCTCTGGAGGGTCAGTCCTTCCACAAGCTAGACGATGGACCAGAATATCATACTCACCGCTGCGGCTGCACGGTTTGCCAGCGTACGTCTTGCATGCTGATACGGAGCTGTCTACTCACCAACTTTCCGGATCCAGTGTGATACACGTAAGCTTATCTTTCATTATTAGCCAAGGCGGTACTTATTGTGAATAAGTTGTTGGGATAACACTCTTCGTATGTTATTGGCATTCATGGTCGATGAAGGGGTGCTGATGCGGACCAGGGCTATGACTACCTGCTCATGCTGCCGAAGGAGATCGAGCACATCTGGCATTCCCGGTGGACGCCCGGCAAAGTGCTGTTCATCATCGTCCGCTACATGCCCTTCATCGACATGCCAGTATGGCCCTTCGGTGAGCAGTTTTGTATTCCTGCCTTGAGAGCAGTGAACTGAAACTGGTGCCTCAGCGGATGCGTTCATGGGCGCCAACCTGCCACTGGACTGTAACACCGCAACATACTACACGATCGTGACGTTCATCATCGCTGCCTGCCTTGCAGACTTCACGTACGGTCTCCGAACATGGGCACTCTGGAACCGGAACAAGTTCTTCGGGGCATTTCTTGTCCTCTCCGGGATCGGGTTCAACTTGAGCTGTATCCTCTTGCTAGCGGTGTTGCAGTCGGGAGAAGCGTCCATCCGGATACCTGGGCTGCAGGGGTGTTTCTCCCCTCCGTCGACGAATGATGATATGTGGAAGGCGTATTTGCTCACGACGAGTTTCCAGCTGGGTGAGTCGGAGTTAGACGCGTCTTGACGAAGCCCGACGCCCTCTGACTGACGGGGGAACCCAGTTCTCTTCCTAGCAACGATTGGGAAGGGTATCCAGCATCGTGAGCTCATTTCCATGCACGTAGCAAGAGAGACTGAGTCGTATGGCCAGTAACCCGACATCCGGAACGGTTGACCGCTGTGCTCTACAGAGACGGTAAGCAGGTACCCTACCCCGATGTAGGACGACGCTAACCTCCGGGGGTATACAGCGTTCTTGTCCTTCTTCGCCCAGCTCGGTAAGTGCGTTCAACGCTCCCCCCCACCGCTGTTAACACAGACCAAAAGCCATAGGGTACATCAATGTCATCCTCCTCCGAGCGACCGTAAGCCCCCTTCCCCCGCCTTTCCTACCCACATCCAATCCACTACATGTATAGGGCGAACCCAACTACTCCCTCAACCTGACCTACCGAGCTCTCACTTCCAACCTCCCTTCCCGGATCATAATCAATATTCGGGAAGCGGCGACTGGGCTGGACAGGTGGGACTGTACGACCGGGGACGTGGTGAGCGGGGTGAGTGGGGTGGAGAGGGGGAGCGTCGCTTTGGAAGATCTGGATATTGGACGAGCGAGGGTGGGACGGGGAGTGGGGATTCGGGAGATATTACAGGCTTGAGCGGTGACTTCTAAGCCTAAGAACCCATATTTTTCAAATGGTCTGTATGTATGCTAACGATATTCTTCAACGCTGCACTGTATTTACGCCGCATCCAATAGTACACATTCTATCCCAGTTCATCGCTGCATTGCATGTCACCCCTCTTCAAAGAACAGCTTCACCGTTCAGCACGCCCAATGGATTCGATTTTATTCTTTTACACTAGCGGATGCTTACAACAGTCAAGATTCAAGAGCTCATTCACGATTCACATATCCTGTCAGAACCAGCCGTGGCCAACCACCAAACTAGTAGTTCTGGTTCCCGCCGTACCCCCCCTGCCCGCCCTGGTTGCCACTGCCGTAGCTGTCGTTCGAGCTTCCAAAGTTGTCGTTGTTCGAACTGCCGTAGCCGCCTTGGCCGCCCTGGTTCCCTCCGAACCCGCCCTGTCCACCCTGGTTGCTTCCAAAGTTATCGTTGTTGCTGCTCCCAAACCCACCCTGCCCCTGGCCGCCTTGGTTTCCCCCATAGCTGGAATCGCCCCCTACCGGGCATCAGCCTCTGCCTACGTTTAAGGGGCAGATGACTCACCCTGGTTCCCGCCAAACCCACCCTGGCCGCCTTGGTTCGACGACCCATAGCTATCGTTCCCGCTGCCAAATCCACCCTGGCCACCCTGGTTCCCTCCAAAGCCAGAGTCGCCACCTTCTCATACATAGTGAGTATATGCGCACCTGATCGCATTTGAGCGACGTGCGTACCCTGGTTCCCGCCGAACCCTCCTTGCCCGCCTTGCCCACCCTGCCCACCCTGCCCGCCTTGCCCGTGCTCGCCGTGCGCATGATGATGCTTCCCCTCGCCGCCAGAGCCACCGTACCCGCCCTGTCCAGATCCAGAATCCCCACCTATGATCCGGTCAGCAACTGTCCACACAGACTTATACGCATACATGCATATATGCGCACGTCGCATACCTTGGTTCCCGCCATACCCACCCTGGTTCCCAGACCCAGAATCCCCACCGAACCCACCCTGATTCCCAGATCCAGAGTCGCCGCCAAACCCGCCCTGACCCTGACCCTGGTTGGACGATCCGTAATTGTCGTTGTTCGAGCTCCCGAACCCGCCTTGGCCACCCTGAGAACCTTGGTTGCCTCCAAAGCCCGAGTCGCCGCCTGTTTGTGTCTCGATCAGCGCTCTATCCGCGTGGGAGGGAAGAGAGGAACGAGCAGCTTACCTTGGTTCCCGCCAAACCCGCCCTGACCAGACTGAGCCTGAGACTGGTTGCTGCCGTAGTCATCGTTATTCGAACTTCCAAACCCGCCTTGACCACCCTGGTTCTGGCCCTGGCCCTGGTTCTGGTTTCCCTGACCGCCCTGGTTCTGTGCGTAATTGCTGATCGCACCCTCGACCTGGTCTTTCATCTGGTTGAAGAAGTTTGACATATTTGCAGATTGGTAGTTCGGTAGGAGTTGAGCGTGTGAAGTAAGGGAAGGGTGCAGGAGACAGGACCCATGGAGGGGAAGGAGGGTTATATACCTTTCCTCTATCCTCCTCCGCAAGCAGATGACGAACGGATGACGTTCTTCCATTATTCCAGAAACGTGCATAAACGGCCGCTTGTCTATCCGGAAGCAGGCGCGGAAAGGCTAAGAATAGCCCATGTGCATGTCCGTGTCCACCGTACGTGAGAGACAAAGGACAGGGATTAGGACTAGCCTCAACTAGCGAGCAAGGGGGGCCATGTGCCGCTTTGTACTTATTCGGCTCGAGAGGTGGGAGGGCAGGAGATGGGATGCGGGCCGAGGGGCGCGTGACCCTCTAGCAGCTGCCCTTTCCTCCCTCTCCCTCCCTGTGAAGGTCGATCGATCCTCCCCTCCCTCTCCGCAGATCGCCAGACCCAAGCAGCCCATCCCAGAAAGGCACAGTCTCAACCCAGCAGTGGACGAAGAAAGAAGAGTGCGTGCTCAGGGTCCGATGACGCCTCTGCTTTCAATTCCAGTGATCTGGTGAACTTACGATGACGTTGGTAGTCCCGGAAGCTGTTCTTCCTACACTCGTATCGGCGGTATTCTTCCTCTCTCTTTGGGGGAAGTAAGAACCCAGCAAGATAGTACTGCTGAGACAAACTAGGAGAACCGCGCAACACTAGAACTCGATGTGTTCCATATTACAAGGAGTCGGGAAATCACCTTGCCTTGAATACCCTGACACCTCCGAAACCTTAATTGAACTAGAAGCCTACAACCCTGAACTCTATTGTCCACATGTGTCCGGCATGGTCAGACGGTGGGTTGAGCTGTGTACTGCAAGAAGGGGAGACCAACGCGCGAGGATCCTTACTGTGGACCCATTTTTGGGCGGGTGTTCCGGCACACTCCGAGAACTATTATATTCCCAACATTAGCATGTTAGCGCCACGCGCTAGTTGGACAACATGGAGGTGTACAAAGGGCCGCTGACTCCCAGGCACTTTCTGTCATTGCGACGGAGGGATATGCCGACCTCGGCCTCATCTCGGTCGGCATACGTCTCACCCCACCGCACCGGTACCTGATATTAGTACCACACTCTATCGAATATTCCAGGATCAGACGAAATCGACGCATATCAAACGCATATCAACAGGTATCGCGTGGCTGTCTGTTCTGTGGCGCTCGGCTCCGCCCTCTTCTGCGCCTCTACGCCTCATCCCGCGGTCTCCGGAGCTCGTGCTTGTTCTTTCCCCTCTTAGGCTTGTACCAAACCCAGTGCCCAAGCGCCAAATATGCTCTAAACGACGCCAACCCCAAATTGTCCTCTTCGTACTCTTCCGGATATCCCGCTCCGAGCCGGTAGGCAACTGCCAACCCGGAGAGGACGGCGACCTCATGTGCGTTCAGGAGGGTCCAGGAGCCGGCGTACCATGTGTGCTTATGTCCTTGCAAGAGGAAGAGGAGAGGAACGACAAGCAGGTAGTGTGTCCAGCTATGGCATACTACGCTTGTCAGCCTTGGAAGGGAAGGGGAAGAGGGAAGGACACACGCTGATGCCACCAGTCCTCCCGGATGATCTTGCTCTTGTCGATCTCGCTTCTGTCCCACGACTGCTCGTCTTTCTTGTTCAAGAATATCGTCTGGAAGACATGTCTGTCGAACGGGATCTCCTGCCCCGAGAACTGCGCCTGGTAGTTACTGCAGTCGAAGCACATCTCGAGCTTGCGCCTATCCTTGTACTCCTTGATATAATACGCAGGTTTGAACTGGGTCTTCCCGAACGCTACACGCTCGCTCTGGTCCGTACCCGAGAGGGCGTCCACGGCCTGCTCGGGATCGAATCGGTTCGTATAATGTCGCTCCATGTATGCGGAATCCCAGTGCGTGACGGTGATGTCGTCGCTGAATTTGGCAGCGCCGAGGACGCGTCGCTCGATCCAGCGCGCCGTCTTGCCAAGAAGGGACTTGCTAGTGTCCGCCAGAGTGCAGAGAACGAGCTCGTCGAACTCTTCTTGGATCTCCGGAGCATCGGGGTCGCCTCCGGCAGGGTTATGCTTGTCTGCGACCGGAGTACGGGCCTTGAGCGCGACCCGCACTCCTTCGTTCGATCGGCTGACAATGCGCGTCACCTCCGTGTTCAACCTGATATCCACGCCCCTTGACCGGAGATCTGCCTCCCACGCTCCGTAAAAGTCTGCAAACTTGGGGAAGACGACCATAGGCGGGAGGTTGCTTATGAGAGACTTGACATCAGCGGGGTACCACATCCCGAACGTGGGACTCGTGAAGAGGCGTTCGAGGATGATCGTCGGTACCGAGGGGGTAGCGTTGCCCGTCCCAAGGAAAAGAGCCAGGGAGGGGAGGATCATACAGTCTACAAACTCTCGCGAGAAGAGGAAGAGCTTGAGGAACAACGCGCACGGGACGAGTGCCCAGAAAAGTTCTGTCCATCGGACCAGGGTCAGCAGGCACTTGAACCTCCTGATCTCGCGTGCGTGTCGTTCTACTAGCCGGGTAGGGAATACGTTGGACCAGAAAGTGTCTCCTTTGCCAAAGCTGACCTGGAGGTTCACGGGCGTAGCAGGCATGCCGTACCGTTCAAACAGCCTCAGAGTATGGCGGAAGATGTGCGACCCGCCTTGTACGCCTTGATTCAGCCAGTCAGCGCCGTGTCGGGCTTTATCGCTGGGGATGGAGAAGGCTTGCCCGCCGCAGTAGGAGGCGGAGTCGACTAGTGTTATATGGAAGGACTTGGAGGAGAGGGAGAGGTGGTGGGCTGTGGACATGCCTGCTGCGCCTGCGCCGACGATGAGGACGCGTTTTGGGGGCATGGTAGAGAGGAGGAAAGATATGGATGGGTAGGGAAGGGGAGAGGCGTTCTTATAAGACGAGGATTGCTTCTCTGTGGACGAGGATCGACGGAAGAATCGAGATCGATGAGTTGAGACAATTGACCGTATATTGTCAGTTCCGCGCATATACTTCACATTGGACGAATTCCCCACAGTCGCATACGTCATGAGACCCTTTCCTTTCTGTGAGACCATCATGAGACGGTCACGTGTTGCAACTGCATCACAACTGGCTCTACTGCACTGCGCGAGCGCTCTCGACCACCTGTGTCACATCCCACGTGTCAAGTGTGCCCGAGTTCGCCGCTTCTCGAAGATTGAGGATTATCCGCGACGGAAGAATGGAAAGGAGGGAGCGATAGACCTTGTGTAACGAGAAGCTAGCGTCACCCTGCGGTCGGTGGTCAGATGTCAGTCAGACGACGACAACGGGTTACAAAACCAGGGTGATGAGCATGATTACTGTCACAAGCCCTAAGCCTGAGTGAAGTCAGATGTGGTCGACTCGCGGCATTTAGCTACGTCCACTCACACAATTGGACCAAGAAATGCCAGAAAGACTAAACAACGGATGGTCAGTTCTCAGGACGGAGACATCTAAATGCACCAGGTACCATCTCGAAAGAGAATCATCATCAGTCCTTGTGCGCTTCGTCTCCCTATCATTCATTAAGTCATTCCTGCAGATTCTACAGAAGGATCTTACACAAATGCACTCCCTTCACAATTGTGAGAACGAGAAGAACTACACCGTCGCATAAGACTAATATGACCGGAGAGTTTTGAAAACTCACGGATCTGAAAGCCAGTGGTGAGCAAGTAGGCAATCCACAGGGTACTCAACCGTGATGGAGGAACAACACAACCCGGCTACCCTGGGACATACATCGCTAAAGGAAGGGATATGTCAGTGCAAGTTACAATCCAAGAGGCCTAGATCGTCTCACAGGACAAATCAGAAAGATCTGTGGAAATGATCGCAATCATAGCGCCATTGAACAGCACATAAGCCATGCTGAACAAATAGCCTACCGAACGCGATCGATCCCACACAGCCCATGTGCGTAAGCCAAATACGACGTCGGTGAGCAGCATCGCTATTGCTATCGGAATCACTTCAAGATAAGCTGACGTTGCGCAATTGAGCGACAGATTCACGCCTGTGATGGCCTCGTCTGCTTTTATAGTTAGTCGACGACATGATTAAAATTGTCATTTGCAGGCGCAATACCAATGATCCACAACGAAAGGTCAACGAAAGGCAGATAGCGGATTATCAGATAAATGACCTTGCATTCCAGATGTATTTTCGCTCCTTTGGGAGCATCAACAAGTAACCATACAGCTACGGGCTCAGCCTGAGGTCTGGACAAAAGTTTGATGATAACGACGCACGAAGAGGGGCATTGCTGCAGCTACAGCGAATCACAGATCAACCTTCATCCGGAATTTCCATGAGGAATCCGTAGTGACCCATATCATACTGATAAATAAGCCCACAATCATTCAGTTCAAATCAAGATAATGATAGCTTAGAGACTCACTCCAGAGAATTGTGCTGCTTGGATTGTCAGGTCAATCGCCTCTTGATCCATCGTGATGAGTTTGACTCAATTGGGTCGCGATCTTGCTCTGGCAAACTCCAGTTTATGTACTACTGACGTCTTGATCGAGATTTCCGGCATATCCGCGCTGCAAGAGAGTTTGAAACTAGTAACTTGCATCGCCTCATAGAGTTGGTCGTTATCTCGACTCGTCTTCGTCCTGACACCATCGTTGTCTCAGTCATCTGCACTCCGTGCGGCACGTCTCGTAGTAGATGTCGCTGACCCTAAAATGCTAAGAATTCCAAAGGGATAAGCGTGGAGAACGGGATTGTTGTCATTCCGATGCCTGGTGAGTGTGTCAGCGAAGATATGACATCCCGTTCTGGACTAACAATGCTTCACCTCGTGTCATCTTCCTCACGAGAGTTCTTTGTCTCGTGATCCAACATCAGAGAGACGAGTCGAAGAGATATAGCAGCGCACCTCTGTTGATGCCCCGAACGTGCACGTCGAGCTGGCAGAGACAGCGCAGAGTACGCCTCGTCGTCAGAAAGAGGGTCCACAGGTCTAAGAACTTGCAGAGAAGACTCCTACCCAGCGTGTTCTCCTATCAGGTCGCAGAGACTCGCCTTGCTGACACTGCGTATATATATTCAATATTGGTACTGTAAGAAATTCTGACAGTATGTTGGCAAATCCCTTTTGCACACCTTCTGCACACGCCAGTGAGGACTAGTACTCCGAGTCTTCAGCCTGTCGTCAAGGGGATTTCCTGATCAGCTTTCATCCATTTATCGCTACGGCCCCCACCCGAGATAGGACCTTTGATTGACTTCGGCTGTTGCAGTTCTATCAATAGATTTGCTGACCAGCAAGGGCTGATCCAAGCACAGAGGCCGAGGATCATGTGTCTGAGTCGTGCCTCTGAACCAGGAGTTCCTTGCTGCATCGAGAGTTGAGCTTGTTAATGGTACATCATTGATCTCCTCTATTACAAGTGGGTATTGTTCATATGCTATTCGAATCTTAGTCCAGGACTGCTCATTCCTACTCTTGCCCCTGTATGATCAGACTTGACCTGTCCCATTCTATTCTTCCAGAGATGTGTGATACATATTCCACCTTGGCAGCTCGGAGTCCATTTCGAGCCCAGCCCCAATACCCTACAACCCCCACAATAACGAGGACTTAACTTGCGAGTTTGTCCGTCTCAAGGCATAAGTTCCGGATCAAAGCCCCTCGACTTCCCAGCTCCATCTTCTATCATCCCCACCCATCGCTCGAGGTGAAAGCATTACTCGGTTCCCTGATCGTCTCCCGATTCTACGCACGTCATCAGCTCCCAAACACTTGTATATGTGACGCGAGAGACCTACATGTAAAGCGAACACCTCCCGCCGATGCGCTGCGGCAGGAATGGTCGTCTCCCACGGGTCGAGCGTCGTGGCCGCCTCGCGGAGATCGAGGATCATCCGCGCTGAGAGGACGGAGACTAGAGCGCGATATGTGCCATTGAGGGAGTAGTTGACGCTTTGCTGCAATGGGAAAATTAGGCTCTGGTCCAGGGGAGGGCAGGGGAGGACGTACGGTGCTGATCACTAGTGCGACATTGACAAATTCGACGCCTTCCTCGCTCAGTCAGCAAAGGTCACCCGAACGCGGAGGCACCAACCTATCTGAATCAGGAACGCGAAGAACGCTACTCTCTGCATCAGTCGCGAACTTTCATTGAAGGAGAAGACTCACCATCCCGGTATAACACTCCTTCCAGCACCTGGATCTTACTTTGGGTGACTGTACCGAATTAAGGATCTCATAATCAAGCAAGTTGCAAGCCTACAGTGTTGCACGCCCTTGATCACAGTTGCGATGAATAAAACTTGCACCCCTCGATCAGCATCCCAGCCCTCTAGAACTCACACCACACTCACCGAGCTGATAACTCGTCGTCAGGAGAAACGCCTTCCACATCGCGGCCGATGTCTGTGCATAATCTCCAGGCGGGGTGAAACATCCGTCCAACCGAGGGATCCGTTGTACTCCTCTTCTCAGCCAGAGATCTCCTGAGACGATGTACGGGCATACCTGGTGTACGCGTGGGAGACGTGGCGAGCAGCGCGATTGCCGTTCCGTGGAAGGCTACGCCTGCGACGATGAGGAACAACCCGATCCAACGACCTCTCTCCCACAATGCCCACGTCCTCAGCCCATACACAACATCCGAGACGCACGTTGCGATGCTCAGCGTGATAACCACAAAGTATGTCGCGACGTTACAGTCCATCGGAAGATTCCCCCCGGCGACGAAGGAATCCGCTTTGCGCATGTTAGCTCCTATGCGGTGGGGAAAGAGGAAAGCCGCACCGAACGGCCAGATGGGAAAGTCGAGGAAGGGCATGTAGCGGACGATGAAGTACAGAATTTTGCCAAGGCCCCATCCTTTGCCCCAAATGAACTTTCGCTCCTTGTTAATGTTGAGGATGTAGTCGAATGCCTGCACGAAGTGAACATTGAAATCCGCGTGATGGGGAATAGGTCTTACTACGAGAGTCATGCCCACGACTGAGTAACTGTCAGTATTTTCTAGCAAAGCAACCAGAGACTTACCGGTGTCATACTGGTATTCATGATGAGCGTCTCGGAATTTTAACGACAGAAATTAGACTCACTGTACTAAACCTCCCAGCTCGAGCTGCGTTCACGAACGCAACCTGGTCCATGAGGTCACTGATCGGGACACGCACCAAACCATGTCCTCAAACCTCGCAGAAGCATTATATGAACTCCTGCGGCTATCGGCACCGGGCGCAAACAAATTAAATAATGATATTCTTCAGGGTTCGGAGAAGCCGACAATTCGAAACTTCTGTTCTTAAGGATTACCGAAAAGCACGTTCCGCCCCTTGGAGTTTGGCATTTGAATCAGGCCCGATCCCTTGACATCACAGATTTAGATCTCATTCATTGCGGTTTCGCTCTATCTGGAAATCCGCTCAATAGTCGTACAGGCTCCGTCTGATGCACTCGAGATATCCCTCCTTCGTCTCTCGTGCGACACGGGTGTGTTCATGAAGAAGCCGGAATAAAAGTGAGGAGTTCCGGCTTTAACAATCAGATCGGTCCTCACACCGGCCGTGAACAGCTTGCTCGCAAACTCAAGGGCGGAGTCTCGGATACAGTCGAGTTCGCAAACGAGGAGGTAGAAAGGAGGCAACCGTTCTGCCAGTTCGTGATACTTCGACAAGGGGAACTCGTTGACGAACGCCCCTTCCGGCGCGCCCTCATCTTTGGCCGCAGGCGAGTCTTCTCCAAAAAGGTACCGGTTGATGTTGTGACAGCCTTCGGTCGCCCACCACATGTAGCCTTCTTTGGCCGGTTTCCAGTCGTCAGCCATGGACGGAAACGAGCCTTTGCGACTGTCTACGTGTGGCGAATCGAGAATCACTGGTCGCGGCATGATGTCGGCTTTCTCGCCAGTCAGTCGGAAGGTCAAATAACTCGCGAGGGCGCTCCCTGTGCTCGTCCCAATAGGATGATCTTATTGAGATCGAGACCGAGGGTGGATTGTCCGCCTCCTACGGAGATGAGCCAGTAGCCCATACATAGGCGTCGTCATGCGCGGCGGGATACGGGTGCTCGGGTGCGAGATAGTCGGGAGATATACAGATGTAACCCGCATTAGCAAATTAAAGGTGGAGACGAGGGGTGCCGAAGATGCCTTGCTTGACCTCCGCCCGTTCAGGAGGGCGGACCATCAATGTGTGCACTTGCCCCGAGAAAGACGTTGGTGGAAGGGCCGCAAACGCCGCGCGAATACCTTTGGTGGGATCGGGATCTGCGGAATGTCCATGCGTCGGCAGCGGATGGGGTGTACGGCCGGAGTTCGGACAGAACTAGTGGTCATTCAGTCGACATGGTTTCACCTGGACTGGATGTAGACGGCGGTTGCTATGTCTCGTCGAGAGGAATGTGAGCCGAGAGGCCATCGCAGCGGGGTGGGCGCGCAAACGCAAGTGGAATATTGCACATTCTTGCAGCAGAACACACGAGTGCTGCACATAGGAAGCAAGTCAAGCATGGAGATAGCCGGGGCAGTGAATAGATGAGGAACCATTGATATTATCCCTCTTCTCTTGGCGTTTCATGAACGCGTGTCGGATGGGACAGGCACCGGGGCGCATGAATCATGTCGTCATTCAAGCTCCTAGCAATAAGATTGTTACACATCATTGTCAGACTGGATGAAAACAAACGTGCACTTAGACGATTGAATGTTGAGAGGAAGCGGGGATGTGCAGAAGAGGAGGTCCTTACAGCAGTACTATGGAGGAGGTTGATCTGGGGCGCTAATTAGCTGGCACGGAGCCGGAACTGAAACTTTACGTACACAAAACGACTGTGTTGGGGGCTTTCTTCGACAACGGTGGTGGAACATACATAAATAATTACGGCTACCACGATAGTCCAAAACGAGAGGATACAAATGAGAAAAGTCATTGTCGTGAATGAGAATCGACATTGAACGTGAATGATGTTCGGTCTCGGCTAGGTTCACTGAACAAACTGACACCTCGTTCACTCCTCACCCAAGTGCCATATAGAACTCCAGCAGCTTCTCAAAGTTGAGAGTCCCCATACCTGAGACACCGTCAGCATGAGCCGTCACCGTGCCGGACGGAGAACCGCTTGGGAAGGATTTTGCCTACCAGTGACGGGATCCCATCCAGGAGTAGTACTGAACCCCTTTGTGCCGCAACCTGGGTTGCTGCCCGAGATGATATCGTGGACGCGGTCGGGGTTGGCATATATGACCGAATTGATAAATCCGATACTGTTTGTGGATATAATCAGCGGGAAACCCCGCGGACTGGAAGAACGTACGGCGCGTTCCCCTGACTCGCGAGCTCGGAGTTGATCTTCGCGAGCATGGATGCTATCACTGGCGCACTCGCACTCGTTCCGTACAACAGTAGGAACTCTCCATCAGCTGCAACGACATAACCTGCTCCATTAGCGCTTATATCCGGGTATCCGCGCATGGAGTCCGTGTTATAGTCATACCCCAAGCCCACAGGTCCGTAGTTGTCCGACCACCCCGCGACCTGGTCATCCTGGTATCCAGGGCGGGAGAAGACATTGCTGAACCCTCCGCCTGAGACGATCACGTCTTCGCACGCGACTTCCGGTGTTGTGAACGGGGTGGTCGTCCCGTAGGGGATTTGCGTAGCGCCGACAGAGAGCACCCAGGGACAGGTGGAGGGGAACGAAGGCGTGAACATGCTCCCGTTGAAGTCAATATTCCCTGGAGATCGTATCGGTGCGAGGTCCAAAGAAGTTAATGGGCAGAGAAGACACGCACCAGTGGTATCGTCCATACACATACCCATATTCCCCCCTACACCATAGTCTCCAGAGCTGAACACCACGGTAATCCCCTCCAAGCCGAGCTTCAGGTACTCATGACACTGTCTCTCCATGTAGCTGACGGGGAGGTCGAACTAGCTCTATTAGCTTCTGCTGGAGGGAAGAGGAGGGAGATGAAGCATACCTCGTTGTAGTTGTAGGATGTGGAGATCACAGTGGCTTGGGGGACCGTTCCGCAGTCTTCTGGGTAGGGCCAGTCTGGTCATCCATCAGCATCATCGAAGTACACGATGGCAAATGAAAGATGTAGAATCATACAAGAGTTAGGGAAGGTCTCGTCCACACTAGGATCGTTCTCTCCACAATAGCTTCCATCCAGCGCATTCAAGAAGTTGCCAAAACTCGCAGAACCAGACAGGTCCCCGACCTAACACCCACGACCTTCAGCGTCATTCCAACTCCGGGATGAAGGAGTCACCCACCTGGTAGAGCATTGGGATCTCCGGCCAGGAAAGGGCCATCGCATACTCTAAATCCAGGCTGCTCTCTCCCTGATACTCGAACCCCAGATATTCGTCTTGTGGGTATCCACCATCGATAGAGTAGAGCGTTGGGCGCTCGCCCACTCCAGGAGAGAGGTAGTAGCCGAAGAACATCTCGAGATCATTAGGGAGATAGGACTGCGGTGTGTATTCTACTATTCCGAGATGCTCCGATGGGTAGGAGGGAGCGGAGAGATTTGGCGCCGGGTAGTTGTATAGCTCTTGCTGTATGGTTATGCAGATGAGTATAGAACAAGAAACGGAATGACAAACATACTAGACACTCAGGCACGATGAACTCCCCACAAACGCTAATCCCGCCGTTGAGCTGGTCGGTGGATAACTGCTCTCCTTGCTTCGGCAAGCTTCCACTTCCGGGCACTCCCAGCCCCACCTTACCTCTCTTCTTCTCCTTCGGCTCCTGACCTGAGATGCGCATCGCCGATTCCCGAGCGGAGAGGGGAATAGTGACGCCTTGCTTGTGTGCATGTCCATCGAACTGCAGCGTAGGGTAGACAAAGTCGACGTGCTCTGCCACCTCCTCAGGTAGGTGGTATTCCGTACATCCCAAATGCGTCGTCCCGCGCTCCTGGTGGGTGTAAACCGAGTAGGAAGTATTAAGCAAGCTCTGTGCTTCCGAAACGGAAAGTCCGTGCACGTCCACCGACCCTCCAGAACGAGAGCGCCTGATCTTCCCCTGCGGGATGCCTTGGGAAGCAAGCCAACGCTCAACGGCCTCTGCACGCTTGGGCTCAGGAGCGAAAAATGCGTCGACTTGCTTTTTCGTCCAATGCTTCCGGAAGAAAGGGGAGGAAGGGGAGGAGACGTTTAGCAGCGCTGAGGGGCCGAGATGAACGTTGGATTGCTGGAGGAAGAAGCGGAGTGGGCTGGGAAGAGGTGTGTCTGGCGCGGGAGGGTCGAGAGAGCGAGCATAAGAGGAAGGTATTGAACGGCGTTCTTCGTGTAAGACGCTGAGGGCCGGGAGGACCAGTAAAGGGAAGAAGAGGAGGAGATACATCCTGCCTACTTGCTTGCGCTGCTGCAGTTCACCACGCCGGCCAATTTATGTCTTTCTGCAGGCAACGCCAAGCCAAAGTTGTTCGCTTTCCCCTCCATAGGGCCCGAGAACGGAGGGCGGGATACGTAAATATCCACAGAATGGAGAGAGGGACGTGCCTACTGTACATCTTGGAAGGATTGACTGCTTGTTTGCAGGGGGATGGGAGGAATGGGTGCATGGTGCTGGGAATCCTGTGCTCTAGTTCGGAGTTGAGAGAGTGCTGGTTCGGGGCGTGCCAGTGCGTGTGCATGCCATTCCAGCTGCATGTCGAGTATGTTGGCTGGAAGAAGCTGTTCGTTGACCGAGTTCAACGCCGAACAAAGATATTGAGAGTAAATAACCACTTTCGAAGAGGGAAAACACCTCAAGAACGGATTACCAAAAGCAGCTACCAGAAGGAGATTGCCGAGAAAATTACCAAAAGCAGAAATCTCCGTCAAAGAGACTCAGCGGCCCCGCAGGAACCCGCACATCGCACCGATCAACCCGATCAATCTCCGATCACGATCGGCCCTTACCCCCACCCGGGCCGAGCCTAATCCGACAACGGACAACCGGCACGTTTAGGGTCCACTCCCGCATCCCCGCGTCCGAGCCCCGTCGGATGAGCTCGGCTCTTGACCTTCTGCTGAGGAGATATTAATTCGTACCAGACTGGGGTATGGGGTAGCCCTCTTGCGAACGACCATTTTGTCTGTATCTGCTTGTAGACTGTAACTGTATCTTGGAGTAAAGGAATGGCACTCCCGCAGACCAACACTGTTGTGCGTATCCATCCTGGAAAGCTGGCGGATATCAGGGTGGAGCAGCTTCCAACACCCACGTACGCCCTCTAATTCTTTGCTCACTAAACTAGTCAGTATTCATACGGTGTTGGACAGGATCGAGCATCCCGACGACGCAATTGTTAAAGTGCTCGTACGTTCTCCATGCCTGACTTCATTTATTAAAATAACAAGACGAGACACAGAAAGCCGGCTTATGCGGATCAGACCTCCACGCGTACCGTGGTCTTGAGCCCTTCACAGAGCCATACATCTGCGGGCACGAGCTCATAGGCGAAGTCGTCGCTCTCGGTTCTGCCTTTGGACAGGAAGTCGAGGGCAGGCCAGCACTCTACGGGAAGCTCAAGGTGGGGGATAAGGTCGTCTCACCATTCACGTGTTCGTGCGAGGAGTGCCAGTACGTTTTCCCATTTACGAGATGCGCTGAGAACTGCGAGCTAAGCGAGAACAGTTTCTGCCGCATCGGATTCCCCTCCCGCTGCGTCCATTCCCTGCTATTCGGCTCGCCCTACCTCCCAGGCGCGCAAGCGCAGTATGCGCGTATCCCCAAAGCCGGGGGCACGCTCTTCCTCCTCCCACCGTCCCTGCCAGCCGACATGCCAGAAGAGAGTTTCATGCTGTGCGGTGATATCCTCCCGACGGGATACTTTGCTGCTCTACAGGCTCTGGGGCACCCGAACGTCGCTCCTATTATCAGGGGGGAGAGCTACCCGGGCGTGATGGGCGCGATTGTCCCTCGCGTACAGGAGGAAGGCACGAGGGTGATCAAGGAAGACCAGAAATTGGGAGTCGCGATCGTCGGTCTTGGCCCAGTGGGGATCTGCGGCCTCGTAGCCCTGCTCGATATCCTCTCCCAGGCCAATGTACAGACTTACAAGGTCTATGCGGTGGATCCTGTCCCCGCGCGTAGGGCGAAGGCACTCGCCATCCTAAAGAAGATGAAGCCGGAGGAGGCGGCACATGTCGAGGTGCTTGATATTGAGGAAGCAAAGGAGAAGGTAACAAAGGAGACTGTAAAGGGGTGCGATGCTGTGCTTGAAGTGAGTACAATGTTGCCCTGTGACTGCGTATGCTCATGTTTTCTAGATTGTGGGGAACGACAGTGCATTGGTGCTGGCATACGACCTGCTCCGTCCGTTTGGTGTCATCTCCAGCGTAGGAGTGCACACCTCCCCCCAGTTCCCGCTAAACGGCGATACCCTGTATACGAAGAACGTCTCTGCCTCCTTCGGCCGATGCCCTGTGCGGGCGATGTTCCCGCTCGCTGTGGACCTGCTGGTACGCCGACGGGACGTGCTCGCTGGTGTTGGGGGTGAGGAAGCGCTGGTGGAGCGGGTGATCCCTATGAGTGAAGCGGTGGAGGGGTACGAGAAGTTTGACAGTCGTGTGTGGGGCAAGGTAGTATTCGATCCCTGGGCGTGAATTAATAGAGTAGATATATATCTGTTGAGAATGAATAAGAATTTGGGTTGAGAGGAGAAATAAGGAAATGCGGTGACCATAAATATGTTACCCTTCAATTGGGCAATCACCTTCCCTGTGCGTGGCTATGGGAGATAGCTCCCGTGTGAGAGAAGCAATCGCCTCGTTGCGAACGGCTGCGATTCTTTCTCTAGCACAATCATCCCGCCTTCTCCCCCTCTCCCCTGTCAGCACCGTCCCCTCCTCACCGTCTCTGTCAGCCTTCCCCGTCACACGCCGTTCCCCTTCCTCTTCCCGACGACCACCTCCGGACCTTAACGACTTCTTGTCCTCATCTCACTGACGACCTTCAAGATTATCTAACATACACCTGTATTACCCCATCCAGCATACACCTTCCCCTCCTCACTACCATACCATGGCTGCACAGCGGAACGTCCCACTCACCTGTTCTGGTCATACGAGGCCAGTAGTCCACCTCTCCTTCTCCCCACAGGTCGAGGCAGACGGTTCCTACCTCCTCGTCTCATCCTGCAAGGACGGCAACCCCATGCTCCGCGACTGGAAGGGCGATTGGCTCGGCACGTTTATAGGGCACAAGGGCGCAGTCTGGTGTACTCGGCTGGACGCGACGGGCAGCAGGGCCGTCTCGGGCAGCGCGGACTTTACGGCGTGCGTCTCTCTCACTGTGACCGAGGTATATGCTAATGCGCTTACAGAAAACTATGGGACACCTACACTGGCGAAGCACTCCTTACCCTCCCTCACCCGCATATAGTGCGCTCTGTCGCCTTCTCCCCTCGTGGAACCCACCTCCTCTCCGGTTCGCAAGACAAAAAAGTCAGGTTGTTCGATATCGAGCTCGCCTCCACTTCTGGCGGGCATGGAGCCGTCATGCGTCGCTCGCCTTCTTCCCCTGGCGGGGCGAAGGAGGACTGTCATGATGGGACCGTCAGAAGTGTTGTCTGGGTTGGGGAGAGCGAGGGCGTCAGTGCGGGGGAGGACGGTGTGCTCCGCTGGTGGGACCTGCGCACACTCGGCCCTACGTCTTCCCTCCGGCTTGACGCACCTATCACCTCCATGGAACTGAGCGCCCCGCATCATACGCTGGTAGTCACATCGGGCAAGATGGTCAGCTTCATTCCCGCCTCTTCTCCGGGCAGCGCAGCACCTCCCCCGTACCCGATCCACAGCTTCCCCTTCACGCCGAGTAGTGCCAGCTTGCACCCACTAGTACCGGACCGGTATGTGGTGGGAAGCCTGGCAGACCCGTGGGTAAGGGTGTTCGACTTCAATACGGGGGAGGAGAAGGAGGTGTATAAGGGGCATCATGGGCCTGTGCATACAGTTGAATACTCTCCAGATGGGGAGATGTATGCTACTGGGAGTGGTGAGTCGACCCTTAACTTTACACCTTGCGCATCCTGAACCTCTTCTGATGCATTCACAGAGGACGGCACCATCCGTCTCTGGCAGACAACACCAGGCAAGACATACGGTCTCTGGCAAGCCGTCGATGTCCAACAACCTCAACAGCCGCTCCCTCAAGGACAAAACGGCTCCAACGGGCCATACCGCAGCTAACCAGACCTCGCCCCTCCATTGCCGGGGTCCGCGAACGAAGAACGACGCCAACCTCCGCTGCAACCCGGTGCCCTGCCTTTGCCTGGAAAGGTGTCTCAAGACGGCGCTGGGGCGGATACGACATTACGAATCAACAGGGTTTTTACGCTTTTTTTTTGTACGACCGCGGTTCGGTTTGGTTCGGTTCGATAGGTTTAGGTGTAACGTTTGGCTGGGTTGTTGTATTGATTTCATGACGCTGAATCCGGATCTGGATGGTTGTGTTTCTGTGTGCCAGGGCGGATCCCTCTACTTAGAAGAGGTCGATTGCCTAGTAAGAGTGGCTTTGAGAGGGATACAGCAAGTGCATCAGACGACCTATTTGGCACTTGCGCGCATATATCTAGCCTCCATCTCGGGTGAACAACCTAACGCCTGATAAATCAACTAATGCAAGTTGATGATGAGCAACCACATGCTTTGATCATTTTATCGGGAAGATGGGATGGCGCCCGTTAATATAGCATATCAGCAGATGATGATGACAGCGAAATATCATGATTACAGAACAATTACACAGAGCAAGCAGTAGTATCAACATGCGCGCATCCACTATCACTGGCCAAATTCTTCACAAAGCGCAGTGCACAGCATCTCTCATCAAGCAGCACCACGTTCCCAGCGCTCGCCCTCTCGTCTCCCCGGTCTGTCCCTCTCCGCGTTAGCGTCCCATCGCCGTCTATCCCGTTCTCTCTCCTTCCGCATCTCATCCTCGTCGTACCCTCTTCTGCGATCATCACCTCTGCGCTCCGAGTCCCCGTACGAGGGGCGTCTGGCGGGTATGTCGCGGTTGCGGTCGTGGTCTTCCGAGGGGCTGCGATCTCTCCGCCTAGGAGGGGAGCGAGCACGCTCTCTCGGTAGGGGTGAACGAGAGCGCTCATCCCTCCTCCGCCTGGGGGATGGTGACCTATCTTCGTCCTCCGAATACCTTCTAGGAGAAGGGCACCTCCTCTCTCGACGCTTTTCTTCTTTCCTCGCTCTCCGCTCCTCCTTACGTGCACGCTTCTCCTCCTTCCTCTTTCGTTTCTCCTCCTTCACCCGCGTTCTCTCCGCGTCGTCTTCATTCGGGAACGCAGGTGGCGGGGAATCAGTCTGAATCTGTGGAACACGCACAGCAGGCTTGAACCCTCTGCCATCCGATTAATTTAACCCCACTTCCAAGAGGGATGACTCACAAAGCCACAGCCAAAGCGTCCTCTTCAGCCTCTTTAATCCTCTTAATCTCCTCACGTTTCTCTTCATCCGTCCCCCCCACATCCCGCGCATACCAGTGGATATCTTTGTTCTTCTGCCACCGGCCGGCGGGCGCATTGATCGAGTGTCCAAGGTAGTTCTCCCGGTCTTTATCTTGTACGACTTCGGACCATTTGAACTCTGCTGCGCCGCCTCGTGCACCCCCTCTGATAGGTCCGTCGTACATTACAGTAATGAGGATAGTAGGGTAGGAGGTAGATTGTCTGTGTTCTCGCAAGTTGAAGAACAATGCAAGCCGCCGCCTTGGTCTCTTACGTAATCAAGAATGTTAATGTCACGTGACCAGGAAAGGAACGCGTGGCACCGGGATCAAATGCACTGAGCGCGTCAACTCCAAACGACGAGGAGGACCCATGCCGCTGGAAAGCTGGTAGCTACTGTCGGCCGACCTACATTGCTAGAGGCCATCATCCTACCCTTCTGAGCAACAGCTGACAGCCTATCAGAGGCTCTGATCATCTATTTCCTCAACCTGGCGGTTTCAAGGACTGCTTGGACATCAATCACTTAGTGACAAACTGGATGGTGCAGCTCTGGGAACGACGCTGTTGGTATATGTGCTCATCCCAGGCAGATGGAAGGCGATGATTACCGACCTTGCAGGCTTACGACCGGCTTCTGACAGTTTCCCCGGGAAAACTGCTATTCCTAACAGTCTGGTACTCGGGAGTGATGACACTTGCTGTTTACTAGCACAGTATGCTCAATGTGCGGGATCTTCTCGCGTCTGCGTCTCGCGATCTGAGGTGGTGTCGGTAGTGTCATGCTGATCGCCGGTGCGAGTACCATTCTCACACTTCGTACCTTGGCAATCTAGAACCGGAGCCAACAACTCGGAATGTTACTCTTCTTGGCTTGGCTCGGTTTTGTATGATGCGGTACTTAAACGCCCATAGCTTTGATCCAAGGCATTGTAGTGAACAACACGCGTCTGGCCCTATACAACTTGGCTGGTCTAGCACGGGTTATGTCTCTAGCAACACTGCGTCCTCCTCCACGGCTGTGTTCCGTTTTTGCACAACGCCTGCGGCGTATGAGGGTCGTGAGTCTTCAGCTTTCGTGTGTACGACATGCTCCCCATATCAATCGCGCCAGTGATCTGTGGGCTTACCGTTCTCCGGGGTCTACCCTTTCGTGCGCTGTCTCCCTTTTTGGTTACAAGAACAATCGATTAACCCTTTCCCAGGGTACAAATTACCATCGCTTGCGGCGACCCTCTACAGGGACGGTAGGCAATACTGCTAATTCACCCTGTAGTGTTCTGATGCCTCTCTCTAGCATTCATGGCATCAACATGTCTCCTCAGCAAGTTTCTCCTCCGTGCACCGCTATTCATGCCCTGACCGCCCGGCAGCCTTGGCACTCTTGAACGCAATGCTGACGAGTCAAACGATGCCGTACTACTCCTACACCTACTTCATGAGCCTTTAGTGTTTATCGGGTTTTTCTCGCTCGGATCATCTTAGACATCCGAGAGGCAACGACAAATCTGGACGAATGGGACGTAACGACGGACGAGACAAGAACAGTGGTCGTAACGCTCGCCTTGTCGACGCTGGAATGTGAAATCAAGGCTGTTGAAGGTCTTACGAGAGCAATTACGGAGCCGTGGAGATGAAGGACACCCTTTTCCTTCAGGCACGGCACATGCCCTCAACACCTTTCGAGAGTCGAGAGGATCGGGTACACCGATCCCAACATTCCATCAATGCAAGGCATGTGAATAACGCGGCCAGGAAGACCAAATAATGTCGATCAATCCTTGGAGCGTGACAATGTCTTCGGATATTTCTGATCGCAACGCCAATGTCTAGGATGTCAACGATATCGTACATATTCTTTACGGCACATCCTAGGGTATCAATTGTCGAACAACATTTTTCCCGGCCCGCCTTAAACAGCACAGCTTTTTTCATTGAGAAACGAGGTCAAGGAAGCTGTTGTTGAAGCGGAACGAACCGAAGAGGGGATGGCTAACCGCTCAGGAAGATGGCCGAAAGAGGAAGACCCTACAAGAACGTGCTCCACTATCGTCGTTGAGTTGTACGAAACTTCCGCAATGGAGGCACTCGGGGTTCGTATCCCGATTCGAACTACTAACATGACTCTCATCTGGCCCGGCTATAACGTACAATTTGAGATTAGACAGATCTCGATCGATATGATTAATACGGGGGTTCTCAAGTTCTGGTTTCACCCTGTGGATTCGTTGACGAACGTGGTACGCCGGTGCACAGCTCTCCCTAGTCTCATGGAAATCCTTGGGCGCCCAATGAATGAGTCAGGGACTGATCTTCCTTTCACCGCATCGGTGTTTCGTCCAACATCCAGGCTAACAATGCGAGTATCTTCAAGGGTCCATGTGGGCCACAGTTCTGCAACATATTCCAACATTATGTGCAGTCTTCACCTTCCGCAATGGTCGACATATCCTCGAAAACATAAATCAGCATCGCCTATGGCGAATCGTGTTACATCCAGCCCCCCCCCCCCCCCTTCGTTGTCCACACAATGCCTTCCTACGAACAGGTGGTGCAGATTGACCAGCAGTCCACAGTGAGTAATCTCTACACCGGATAATGTCGAATCAGTCTGAGCCTTCTCGTAGTATGGTCTCGGTACGTAACGTGATCCTGTTTAGAGACACAGTCCGACTGACATCTTTCGCAGCAATCGGCATGACTCTTTGGGTGCGTCCTCACATGAGATCTCGACCCAACGCTGATGGCCAACCAGGCGTATGACTGGATGCTTACGCTCCAGCAAGAAACACAGTATGTGTGGTATAGCAAGTGGACCCCGGGCAAAATCCTTTTCCTCGCTGTCCGATATGGCGGATTCTCCACACTCATTGTTTATCTATATGGTGCGTTGTATATCCCTCTTTCCTCGTTGGAACTAACAACTGATAACATGTAGTTGTTGCTGGTGCGGATGTCACTCAAAGTCGATGCACTTTTGCGCTCTATTGGGCACTATGTACGTTCGCTTAACCGACGAAGCAACCACTTGATGTTCAACGATTCCAGGCAACCAAGTTGTTGCAATCGGAGCTGCAAGTGTGATTCTAGCTCTCCGCACATACGCGGTTTGGAACCGTAATCGGATCGCAGCTGGAGTTATCCTCGCCGCGTGGCTTGCTATGGTCGGATGTGCCCTCAGATTCCTCGTAATGGCGATTCAGGGTGTGACTGTCGATAACCTCGACTTGGGTCTACGCGGATGCTCAGCGACAAACACGTCCACATCTTCCACCGCGGCACTGCGGATGTATATCACGCTTGGCGCTTATGAGGGCTGTGAGTATTCCGTAACATGGCAATGCCCCAACCTCAATAGCTCACCTGACGCAGTAATCTTCGCCATGACTGTCGCCCGTGGTGTCCCGCTCGGTTAGTGTTCGAGTCGATTGCAGCGTTTGATGATTCCCTGATGTGAATATCAGCACACAAGTTGCCTAAGTTGACGGTTACTCTATATCGGGATGGTAAGGAGGCTTCTTGTTCTCTGTCAATACAAGGCTGACCCACGTGAAGCCTTCATGGCGTCCTTGTGTTTGCTGGGTTTGTCAACTGCGAACATCTTTGTTGCTCTCTCTGACACGAAACAACAGGTTTGGCCGTTGGCAACGCGGTGTTGACTAGCGAAGACTACCCAACTTACTACCTCACTTATTTCATCAGTCTGGCTTGCTCCTCTGTCCTCCCCGCCCGCATTGTCCTGAACATCCGAGAAGCAACAATAGATCTCGATGAGTGGGACGTAACTACTGCCAAGCCTGTTACAGTCCAGGCTCACGTACCATTTCAACGCTCAAGATCAAGAATGATGGGCGACGACTGGGGGCTTGAAGACGATTAGACCCTCGGCAGTATGCTCGAGCATTGCATCACGACTGACAAGTCCGACATCGAGTTGCTCAGCCGATGGCTTGACCCGTGGAGTGGACCATTTTGAATCTTGCCTATTCTCCGGGTGGCGTACGAGTGACAGGGGGTGTACAGCAAGCAGCAGGATGAGCATGTAAGATGTTCAAGAGTCTCATACTAGGGCGGTATATGTGTCAGGCTGTTTTTTCTTCTAGTGTTGTGATCTTTCGTGGGCATTGAACAGTATTTATTAAATGTACGCTAGCTGTAGTTGCATTGCAAGCAATGAGAGACGACTCGGTCTTCTTGTGTGACATACAAGAAGAGGACTCCACATGGCCATTTGTGCCCAAAAACTGAGAATCGTGCCTTGCATCCATCCGACAACCTCGTCTACTGCAGCCTGTATACAGCCAATGATCAACTTCCGAGTTATGCAACCTCTTCCGTTAAGATGGCCCCCAGTTGAATGCCAGATTCTTGACAGTGTGGCATATTCCATTCCTGGTCCGATACAGAACTGTCCGTGCCATTAGTTAAGCGCGCCTGCTGCCTGTGTTCTTCTGGACCAGAAGTGCTGGTTGAATATTCCGCATCTACTGTCACATCCCAGTGGGTCAGACGGCTGGAACTGACCGCTTCGCGGATGTTTAGCACAATCCTTGAAGGGAGATTGGAAGTGAGAGCCCGGTATGATAGGTTGAGGGAATAGTTGGGAATTTTCTAAGACTTGGTGAGCATAAACTTGGACATGGGAAAGAAAGGAGACATGCTGTCACTCGCAGAAGGATGATGTTGATGTATCCAACAGCTAGTGGAATACCTTCATCAGCGGTACGGCGCTGGGGTAGCGCTGGATAAAGACACGCACCAAGCTGGCCAGCGAAGGAAAGGAAGGCTGAGGATAAAAACAGAATCAATTCGACTTCTCCACAGGGATAGATGTGATTCACCGTCACGGTAAAGCACAGCTGTCAGCCTCTCCGGATGTTGGGTCACTAGCTTTGATGAGCTTTGGTCAAAATCTCAAACAGGAAGAACCAAGCACAATGATGTATTCCTTTCACGAGGGTGCTCAGGAATAACACTGGATCGCAAGTCAGCGCAGCACGGGTATTTGTTGACAGCGTCTCACAAAGCTGAAAGCTCGTGGTCAGTAAATAAGCCTTCCAAACTGTATGATCATTGCTCGACTGTGGTGAAAAGCAGCCGGGAAGTTCTGGAATCCTTATTGACCCATCCCCAGATTGCACGAGCGCAAGCATGAGAATACATGCTAAGTTGAATACCACACCAGATACGACGAGGAATATGCCGAAATACTTGTTGCGACTCCACAGAGCCCATGTCCTAAGACCATATAATATGTCTGCTAGACAAGCAGCGATGAGAAAGGTGATGAGCGTGAAATCGCTCGCGCGACTGCAAGGCATTGGGAGATTACCGCCCATGAATGCGTCCGCTGTATATCAAATGGGCATGGGTTAGAAGTGAGGACCGAACGCACATACCAAACGGCCAGACCGGCATGTCTACAAACGGCATATAGCGGACAGCGAAATAAAGCACCTTTCCAGGTGTCCATGGCGAGTACCAGACATATCTAATCTCTTTCGGCAACATGAGAAGGTAGTCGTAACCCTCCGTCAAGATAAGGTTTACTCGTTCAACTGGCGGGTAGAACAAGACTTACGAACAGAGTCATGCCGATGACTCATCAATATTCAGTTGTGCAGCCGTCAACAACTTGTGACGGGGCGTACCCGTGTCATACTAGGTATGTAAAACCATTAGCTCTGATCACGCTTGACGTATGGAGGACCTACACTCGCAAATTTCGCGGCAAGCAGAGTACTCGGATCCATGTTACGACTTTGCAGACCAGTAGGGCGCGCAAGGAAAGAAGCAGACGTTCAAAGTTCAGAGCTGCGCTGTTGGTTTTCGATTGTCGTCGATTGTCCAACGATTGCGATGAGAGACGTCCTTGAGCAACAGGATGCGATCCACGAGATGGCCGGTCTTTAATAGTTCCTGTCTTCGTCTGATCGCAGTTTCAACATGATGTGGAATTAGAAGGTGCAAGTATTAGGGGCAGAGTCAGAAGTCACCCATGATGTTCCATGTCGTTTTGCTGTGGTCGGTTGGTTTGCCAGCTTCTCGTCCGCATGTTACGCGCAGTCATAGCGAAGGAGCAGCAAGATGCTTCACACCCTGATGGACTTGGACAATACTGCGAGTCCTGTGTTTGAGTAAAAATAGGGATTATGATTATGTAACAAGACCCAACCCAAGTAACTCTAACCTGATAATTTGTTTGGTCAACCTTGACCTGAAAATAATAACTCTAGAATAGATTGGAACCTTTACTCGACCAAACCTTATAAGAATAATAGGAAAAGTAGTAAAGTATATAACAGTTACTATACTTTATTCCTACTGTCACTCAGAACAACACTGCTGATAATGACAGTTATCATTATCATAATGCCATTATTACTTCTATGAGAACCATTGATGATACTAACATTATCACAAGACCGAAGTAGTTCTGAGTTTTACTATTACTATTACTATTACTATTACTATTACTATTACTATTACTATTACTATTACTATTACTATTACTATTACTATTACTATTACTATTACTATTACTAAGGTTTTCAACTGTTTCGGGTTTAAAAATATTCAGGTTAAGTGTTATTAGATATTTTGGTCAGGGTTAGTCAGTGTCAGGGCACCAGCTCATTGCTTGGTCAAGAGACATGACTAAGCCTTTATGACATGGAAGTAGCTGGTATACCTTGGCATGTGCTGGAACCTGCTGGAAGGATTGGATGGTCAGGTGACCTGCT